CGATATCGATCAAGCGCAGGAATCGTGAGTTCATCGATCAATGTCGGGATCCCATCCGGAGTAATTTCTCGGGGAAAAAGACGGGAATGAAGCGATGAAAAAGACAGGAGTTAATTCAAGGACGGTGGCTCGTGAGTGATTAGAATAGAAATAAAACTGAGGCGAATCAGTTGCGGGGGATTGGATCTCTTTCCTTCCTCCCCGTTCCGTCCGCGTCGCCCCAAGTTCGATCGATTTAAGTACTAATTCGCTCGGCGTGTCGATCGTTTCATTCCGCCGGTCACGGGGTGGGTCTCCTGCCATCTGATGAATCACCCGCGTTTCCTTTTCTGGAATCCTTCTCTTGCCACAACAATATTATTCCCATCCGAGTGTGGGCAATCTACAATCTTCCGTTCGTTTCCATCCTCCTTGTCTGTTTTCCTGAATGACTTTCGACCTACGAATTTGTCTTGGTGGGCTACACTTGCCTTGGAAACTTTTCAGAACATCAATGGACATGTTGCATGTGTGAGGAATTTGCAATTTGACTGATGATTCCTACGTAAAAGTTCGCGGGAAACACGATGGTGCCACTGTTTTTTTCTGAAATTAACTTCCAAGCTCAAAAAAAGCTCTCAAATTGAGGCCAAAATGGAGGGGATATCCCACGCTATCCTGAGAGTCCACCTCTACATCAAGACGAACTCTTCATGCAAATATAGAGAGTAAATACATTAGCAAGGTTGCCGCGTGTTTTCAGTTTTAGAGTCCCCAAATAAAGTGGCAGCCCTGTCAATATATTTGCTCCCTATCTTTGCATGGAGAGTTTGTCTTGATGTAGAGGTGGACTCTCAGGATAGCGTGGGATATGCCCTCCATTTTGGCCTCAACTTGAGAGCTTTTTTTGAGCTTGGGAGTTGATTTCGGAGAAAACCAGTGGCACCATTGTGTTTCTCGCGAACTTCCACATACGAATCAACAGTCAAATTGCAAATTCCTCACACATGCAACACCTCCATTTTCATGGGAAGGATCGATGTGTCATCTCATCGGAATACAACCCCGAATGACGTAAGTACGCCATGGTCCATTCGTCAAAAGCTCGTGATTGCAAAAAATGAGGCGAATATCTCAGAGAAGAGAAAATGAAAAAAATGGTAAAAAAGATGTAATAAAGAGTTCTCACTTTAACAGTGGTCAGACATCCCTTCCAAAGAGAAAAACACGCCGGCAAATCTGCAACGTCGCCGACCGAGATACGTGTTTTTCTGGTTTCATCATCGATTTATGAGCGATAGTGGGTTATGTAGAGCGATAAGAAAATACTGTACCAGTGACTTATAGGAATCGATGGTTCGATAGGATATGAAAGAACAGACTGTCCCCCTCGGCAAAACGACGGACCTCCGTGGTGATTTCATCGAAGATAAGCTGTTTTTGGTTAGCACGGCAGAGGACGGAACCGGCGAACGAATACAATGTGTAAGCGAGTTAATTTATTCATGACCGACTTAGAGGTTATGCAACAAGCTAAAACTTGCAGTTCGCGGTGCCGCGGCGTGGCACTTTGGCTGCGCCGGCGATGTGTGGCTGTGGTGTCCTTGGTCGCGTTAAAGCCGCTCAAAGCCCCCACAGATTTATTGGTGCTCAATTATATTTTGTTGCTCCTCGATTTATTTCCAGATCAAGTGTTACATAGGGCGTGGCCAAATATCAACCCCTCAGATAACGCGCCCGAAAGAAACTTGCCGGTTTGCATTTATCTTTCTATCGCACAGCCATGCTGAGGGAAAATGCAGTCGGAGTATTTGAATGTTGCCAAATAACGTTGGTAAAATATTAATTTTTGGGTATAGCTATCATTTTATACCACACACTGGAAAAAAAAAACACATTGGATCTAGAGTCCAGACTCTTAAAAACATCGACAAGAAAAAGTACTCTTGATTCAATCAGAATCTACCTTAAATCAAGAAACAAGCCTCTTAATTTAAGCGGATCTTGTGTTGATTCACGCAAAAATCCGATTGAATCAAGAGTCCTTTTTCTTGTCAATGTTTTCAAGAGTCTGGACTCTAGATCCAATGTATTTTTTTTTTCCAATGGAAGGAACTTCATGAAAATGAGTTAAATGAAAAGGAAGTATGCGCATAAGGTTTGTGGGCTACAAGCTATCTTATTAATCCATTTGCGCGCACATAACATTTATGATCAGCATAGATACGTCCAATCGATACATCAATGAGTAATTGGTATTAAAAACTCTCTACATGATAAATGAGAGTAGAAATCACCTGTTTTTTTGGAATATTTGTAAATCATGGGGGTTTCTCTTTCGTCGCTTAGTGACTCAGCCCCTAGCCCCCTATTGCGCGCTCCAAACCCAAAGAATCACTTATTAGCAGCGATAAAATGCAGCGGTTTTAATTGGAAATTTGGAAACAGTGGGCTTATCTAGAGATTAGTGCCTAGGCACCGATAGCTGAAAACCGCTGAAATAAGTTCGGGAAATATTTAGGTATGATCGGGACAAAAAATGAAAAAGAAATCGGAAAATTCATGGTAATAATTTACTAGTGACATTCAAAATGATACCTAGAAGATGCTGAGATGTCGAAGTCAAATCGCTCCTTTCCAAAAGTAGGAAGATTTTGATTAAAAGGGCCACACTGGAAGAAAAAACGCATTGGATCTAGAGTCCAGACTCTTAAAAACATCGACAAGAAAAAATACTCTTGATTCAATCGGATTTTTTCTTAAATCAAGAACCAAGCCTCTTAATTTGATCGGATTTCCTTTTGATTTAAGCTTAAATCTGATTGAATCAAGAGCATTTTTTCTTGTCAATGTTTTCAAGAATCTGGACTCTAGATCCAATGTGTTTTTTTTTTTTTTTTCCAGTGGCAGTAATATCGTGCCCCTCTCTGGCGGCCACCTTTATTACCTGCATGTCCTATAAAAAATGGGTACTCGCAGTCGATTTTGACTGTATTAATGCTCAAGAAGAGGTATGCATCTTCGTTTCAATAGGAAGTCCTATTCTTCTGTGTAAGATTTTTTCATGAAGACATTTTTCGTCTACACGATGAACAATTTTCCGGCGATACCCGCATCCCGGAAAACTTGAAGGCTGGGGCCGTTTGCGGCTCTGGCTGCCGTAATTCGATGAAACTGCCGAAAGCTCGAAAAAATTCGCAGAATGGAGGCAGCCGGAGCTGAGCCGCCGAGTTTTACGGTGCGGATACTGCTGAAAATAAATTTTCCGAGTGAAAATTTTGAATTCGTAGGACATTGCTGGGAAGTTTCAGCTCCCTCCTCTTCACTTTCTTGAGCTTTCAAAGAGCCTGGTATTTTCTGATAGGGTTCTTTATCACAATTAGCGGACATGTACATCTTCATCGGTTATAAGGTTTTCGATAAAACGCCTAGAAACCATCTATAAAAAAAGGGAGAAATAGGGTTTCAATGTGTTGTGATGCGATAGAATCAATAGCGATCGCAATGATGATGATTTATACTGCACGGAGGAAAGAAAAAAAAGGAAAAGAGATATCTCACAATGCAGAGAAATCTGTTCGAAAACCACTCTGAGCAACATGAAATGTTTTTAAAAAGAGCGAAAAATAGCCTTTAAAAATAGATTCCACCAAGCTTTATGATCGAAGTTTACGAACAAACCCTCTATCGAGAATATTAAATTTTTTTTTTTTATCATTAAATCATTTGTAGTGCTAAGAATTTTGTGATCATTTGGCCTATTGGTGACTTTCCAAACGGATCTTGACATTTGTTTACGGGGGCGGAGGCCCGATTTCTATTTGAGTTTGGATCTGGAGACTGATTGTAGACTGTTACGTTTACAATAATTTTAAGTACCTCGTTCAGTCGTGTGATTTTTTATCAAAGCAAAATAATGGGAGGGAAGACGCGATGACAAACGTTAAAAATGTCCTATGGAAGTTTCAAAGGTTAAAAAATCTGAAACTGAAAAAAAATGGCTATATTTTAGTAACAATTTCGGATCGAAGGATAAAGGGTCCGAAACTTAAGAAATCCTGAATCATATGCCCTCTTCCTATTACCGCCCTCATTGTTAGATTTGATGACTCGCAGAGATGTACAGAGAGCTCCAATATGAAATGTGCAGGACCTGCAAGGGGTGTTATGTGTTAACCCTCATCAGTGACAGTGTGTTTACTTCTTTATCTTCCTTTTTTTCTCCTGATAGGAGCATTGGTTTGAAAGGTAAGATAAGATATCGGACACCCCGCCCCGCCCTCTTCATCCAGAGGGCCTTTAAAAATATCGCACTAAAAAAAGACATCCTTTGAAATTAAACGACGCGTATTTTTGGCATTATGTCAAAGTCCATCGGTATCATACAGAAAAAAGCGGAGTCCCAGGAGTTTCCCTAAAAGATGATAATAAATAGGTATTATTTTATGTATTTTATATTTTCAGATCAATTAAAAATTCAATCAAACTGGTTTTCCTACCTGTCCCAAGGGCGATGTCTTTGAGGACTTTCTCTATTCTGGGGACTTTTCACCCCTGTAGCTTAGAATCAGAGGGATTAGAATGTTACACCCATATTCAAGAGACAAAAAAGTCTTGTTATAACCTCTGAAACTGCTCCATAAATTATTTGACGTCAACCCTTGGAAACCCTTGTGGTCTCGTGCGTTGACACCTTTGAACAAATCATGTAGAATAAGTGCTATTTAAGTATTATTTATTATTTGAGAGGTTTGAAGGACAAGTCGCATTAGTGCAGTTTTTGCAATTTCGAGAAGTACGTGTTAGAGGTTTAGAAAATAAATGTATCCCTATAGCGGGAAAAAAGCTCAAACTGATTTTTTGATGCTTAAAAATTGAAATTTGGGAGCGAATTTTTCACACAATATTCAATCAGACTATATTTACTTGAAATCATTAATATATGAATTTTTTCGAAAACTGCACTTATGCGCCTTGTCCTCCAAGTTCCTCATTTATCATAAGATGACACTGCATCTTACCTTTTACTTTTGTCGATACGCTCGGGATAGATCCAATAGTCCGGGGAAAATCACGTTCTCATGATCCAACAATTTCAGTGCACACAACACAAACAGTTCACATGCTTCAAACTCCCTGCGCAAACGGAGAAGCAACTAAAACAGACGTGTCAACGCGAAATTTTGAAAAACCAAACTTTCCACACCAAAAATAAACGGAATCACATGAATTTCCTCTCGCGGGAGGGTCGGAAATACGAACGCTAAAACGTAAACAAAACGCCCGTCGCTTTGCTGGCAGGCTGGACGGACCGCAGGACTCCACGCCTGTTCGAGCACTGATCTCGTCGCGCGGCGCGTCGCCGCGGCCAGCGCCCGCTCCCGCGCGCTCTGACGTTTTACTCTCGGCTTCTGACGTCATCGATGCACCATGCAATGAACTGTCGGTCCAGTAGTGCATCCATCACCGTGAATGAAATGTCCAACAGCAACTGACACAACTAAATCACTCTCCTCACTGAAGGGGATGTGAGTCTTCCAATTCAGCGAAAATTGCGCAAGTGCACCGATCGGACTACATTTTGCGATTAGGAACCACAATGGACCACTAGACAAGGTACGAATTTCAGCATTCTGATACATGTTTCTTCACCAAAATTTCACGTAAAACACGATGCGCACAACAAAAATTACCGAAATCAACTCCTTCTAAAGATATTCAATGATTTTTGGTGCGTGAATTGAAACCACCCGCTCATGAAAACTCAATGCTCTACGTGATTCACATCGCGCGCTAAACGTCATCATGAACGTCTCTGCGATAAAAAAATCTGGCAACCTCAATCTTGACGCTTTGGCTCAGCTATAGCAAATTACTTATGGTTTAAAAAACACATGGTGGGAAATGAACATTGCTCGATTGAGAAGCTTGCTGAAACCGTTGTAGTGCGCAGTTTGACTCACGTAGAGCTTTGAGTTTCTTGTGAGCGGGCAGTTCAAAGTCCTCGTAACCAATGTGAAATAAAAATGTTAATATCTCCGTTAGGAGTTGGTTTCAGTAATTTTCGTTGCGCGAATCATGTTCAACGTGAAATTCTGGTTAAGAAACATGTATCAGAATGATTAAATTCGTACCTTGTCTAGAGATCCATTTTGGGCTTAGTTTAGAAACAACGAATATTGCATCATGTGCTCTATGCACATAAGTGGATTCACAGATGAGCCGGATATTGTAGTTCCTAATTGCAAAATCTAGTTCAATTGTGATCGGGGTTTCAGGTCGCATCAAGTTTGAACCGAGAAAAAGAAGTTTGAGGTTTTATTCCCTCACAAATCTCAATTTTACGGACAAATTTTAACGATACATTTTACGTTGAAGAAAAGAAAATCACATAATTTTAGCAATGTTGAAAATCCTGTAGATTCTACACTTGCTGAAACTATGTTTGCTAACTTGGACTTTTTAAGTAATTTACCGTTAAAAAAAAGAAGAGAAAAGAAAATATTAAAACGAGTCTAAAAAATAGAATTTTGTTACGAGGCCAAAAATTTGCGTTATTAAGTATCCAATATGATCATATGGGCATGACTCACCAAAAAAGCTGGCAAGCAGTTCAATGAAACTTTTATTACATTCAGTATATATTTTGGCTGCAGAATTTTCTAGTTCCCAACCTCATTCGAGTGTAATGAATAAAGTTAAGGAAAACAGCCACAACTATCAGTCATCAGTGTTTCATCATCTCATGCTACATTTTAATTTTTTAAAGGAAAACCAACCAACCAACCAACTTCCACTCTCGAGAATCGTTGCAACTTTTTTGCTTATTCGAAGGTAATTCCCAACAAATGTTAGGTTTGTCGCCCTCCAAAAAACTAAAATAGCAGGAAAGATTGTGAAACACTTCGATAAAAATGTGATTGTTTTGCTTAGCTCTATCAAATTGTCTGGCAATATTGACACTAGATGTCACGGAGATAACTCTCTACTTTTCTTACCAGGCGTTTAAGTCTCCAACTGTACATACTAAACCATCAATTCAGAGCCCCGGAGCAAATAGGTAACTAACTGAAATTGTCGGAATATTGAAGAATTGTCATCTTGGAGGTCTTCAATAATAGTTACGTGTGTATCAGACCTAAAAATTTTTATTAGTGTTATGAGATGTAGAGTTCCGAAATTGCGATTAATATTAGAATGAACAGGGCTATCCCGCGGTTTTCTACAAATATTTCGTCACAATCCAGCCAAAGTATCATGCACAAACGCCACGCGACGTTTCAAAATTTTCGCCACCATTTTATTTTTTACAGAGAAATTTTTAAACAAAGATGTCCGAAAATTTCACTGAATTTTCTTTGTGCTGCTGCCGATAAAATTTTGGCAGTCTTTTTAATTTTTTTAAAAAAAAATATGAATTTCTTCGACTCTGACAACCTCTAATAATTTCAGTCGCGCAAAACTGAAAAAACACTTTTAACAGGTGAGTCCCCTTAAAAATTTGTACACAAAGACGATGAAATTGTTTCTTTGCTGTCATCAATTACACAGGAACTCTGAAAAAAAATTCTCGGCGTTTTTACTGAGGTCCGTTGGTACCTTTACCATCTCACTTTTTTTTACGAATTATTGGTAATTTCACTTAGACTGATAAGCTTACCTAAAAACCGGTATTATTACTGTTTTTTTTCTGGTAAGAATACCACTTTTATTGGTAATCGATTCCCGGTAACTTTGCCATTTTATCTCGGTAATTCTACCACAGCCAATAAAAAATATTGGCGTTTTTACCAAGGTCCAGTAAAAATACCGAGTAAGTTCAATAATTTTACCGAGATTTCTTGGTAAAATTACCAATTCCATAAATGGTAATTTTACTAAGAAAAAACTGGGATCATAAAGAACCCTGAATTCTTGGTAATTTTGCCCTTTTCTTAGTAAATACACCGAAATTTTTTTTTCAGTGAAATCCGCAACGTTGTATACAAAGAAACGTAGTTTTTAAGATCTCCATCGATACGTTTTCTATGGCCGTTCATATCAATATTTGATGAGTGAAAGAAAGCTAGAATTTTTTGCCAGATTCCGAGAGCGCCCGAACTTAAAGACATAATTTTCAACGAGGAAGGTTGCACACCCGATGACCGCACCGCTCAACAGAATGTAGAAGGCGATAGAGGCGTTCTCCAAATCAACTGGTACGAGGTTGGTCGTACCGGAGCACTGGGGTTTTGGGTACCTCCACAGATTGTTCAACCGCTTCAGAAGCCCGCGTTCGTTCAGCACCATCACCCTGAAAATTGGATAATTATGGTAACCGTAAGTGGAATGTGAGGATAGGCTTCTAGACAAGGTGTGAATTAAAACGGTATGCAATTTTTCCCTTCAAAATTCTACGATGAAAACGAATCGTACAGAGTTTGGAAATTAACTTCTAGACAAGACATACTTAAGTCTCTCAGTCGAGGTATCGTCTCTCCTACAAAAACCGGGGGGGGGGGGTCAATAAGCTAATTCCTTATCCATTACTGGAAAAAAAAACCACATTGGATCTAGAGTCCAGACTCTTAAAACATCGACAAGAACAAATACTCTTGATTTAATCGGATTTTTGCTTAAATCAAGAACCAAGCCTCTTAATTTGAGCGGATTTCCTTTTGATTTAAGCAAAAATCTGATTGAATCTAGAATATTTTTTCTTGTCAATGTTTTCAAGAGTCTGGACTCTAGATCCTATGTGTTTTTTTCCCAGTGATTCTGAAAGCGTGAACATTGAATGATAATTTGAAACTGAGTTGTGGATCAAAATTACCATTTGAAAGAGGTTGATTACTCTAACAATTCCCAAAATGAAAAATCGTTCATTTTTCTGTTGCCTTAATGATTTGATACGAGCTTTCATAGCTTTTATCACTTTTTTTACACCAATATCTCTGTGTTCATTTTATAACTGGACACGCGTAAGTTTCCTACTTACGTTGTGGATATGGGCTGCTTGAAGGGTGATTGGTACTTGAGAGCAATGAAGGACTCGACGGTAGGCATGCTGATCTCCCCTACGGAGCAGATCTCCGCTTGAGTGTACGTCTTATCGATAAGGTAATAGCCTCTGCTTGCCTCCGTCTCAAAAGCGTACAGAGAGCCTCTCACGACTTCCATTCCTTCCTCCACGTTCAAATACCCACCGGTCTTTTCAACTTTGACTCCGATTTCCGGAATGTGATGTGACCGCTGCGTCTGTGGATTGGAAATACTTCGATAAAAAGTAATGTGCGATTTGCTCCCTCTGGAATAATGGGTGGATCCAAAGGAGGGAGGGGGAAGGGAGCGTGCGCCCCTAGTTGCCAGTTTGCCCGAAGAAAAGGAGCGAAGAAAAAGGAGTGGAAAGAAGAAAGGAACTGAGGAAAGGAGGGTGGACGCTTGGATTTGGTAATATTTCATAACAAAATCAGTAGCGGATCCTGCAATTTAGCAACACTGACTCTCCTCCATTTAAGCCTGTGTTGAATAATCGATTCTTCTCGGAGCACCTGGCCTCTCCGAGAATCGATCCATTTCCATAGGTTTAAATGCAGAGGAAGCAATGTTGCCAATTTGCTGGATCCGCCGATGAACGAGATGGACTCAAACATGTTAAATGTTTTAAAATTTCGAAAATTTTCTATGGGAAGCCCCCCGAACCCCCTTACGCCCCCTTCCGTTCGAAGTGTCGGGATCCGCCTATGTCTTTAATTTATCAAAATTCAAGGGAGAAATTGCACAAACTCGTGTGAGTACAACACATATTTCTTATGATCATGAGCCTAAGTGACCCATCAGTGAAGAACTAATACCTGAATTTTTACCAGATATTAGCACGTTTATGATACTAATTATTGTCCTAGCTGGATGAACCTAATGTAGCTCTATCTAAATGTATTCCAATGAAATGTTGCTTTTCGTGTTGCACGTAAAAGTGTCAGAATACGCTTATCTATAATTTACATATATTTCTGTATGTGCCTATTCGTTTTCCTTTTGTAATTTAAATTATATTAACTCCTGCCCCAAACCCGGAAAGATGGATTTTAGATAAAAACAATTTTTCAATATCTTGTCATTCAATTAATTGATTTATCAAAAATTATTTTCTGAGCTGATTAATTTAGATTTTCATCGTAAACAATTTAAATCTTTAAAAGTTAAGTACTAAAAATAAATAATTTTAATTACTTATGAGCCTTGAAATTATTCAATAAGATAAAAAATTGAAGAAATATACAAATAAAGGAATTAAAAATATAAAAATTAAAAAAAAAAATGTGAAATTAAATGTGAAATTAAATGTGAAATTAAATGAGAAATTAAATGTGAAATTAAATGTGAAATTAAATGTGAAAATTATACTAAAAATGTGTCACCTTGTAGCGAACTTTGAGATAAGGAGGAACTTTATCGGCTGCTAGGAGAAGAGGCGAGCTTAGAAGCTGACTGAAGGTGTTGATTGTAGACGGGGATCTCGATAAAACCTCGCTAACGATTTGACCCGAATAATAATTGAGCAGGATGTATCCGAAAATCAACGAAATCAACAACACCAATCGTCCGCTCACCCACTGGCTGGTCAGCACTGTACCTGCCGATCAAAATGTCATCGTCCCCATCAGTAGCGATCTTGTAAGTTGGCAACACTGTTCTTCTTCCATTTACATCCATTAAAAATATCGATTCTAGGCGAGGCAAGCTGCCTCTGCGTTACTGTTAAACTCGGTCCATTTTAACATTACATGACTGTGCTTTGCGATATATCGATTGATCTGTCATTCAAACCTACAGCAAAGGATGGTTAAAGAGGGTGTTCGCCACGAACATCTTAAGGATCGATTCTTTACCATAGCATCAAATGGAAACATATCGACAATCGATCATTCACGCCTCGCCACTGTATTTGTGGGCTTACCTTGTTGGCTGAAAATGGCACTGAAGTATAACAGGGCCGACCCAATGGACATTCGCATACTCTTGTCGAATACAGCAACAACTGACACGAAGACCAAGGACATGAGCATCACCAAGAAGCTTGTCAACCAGACGATCCCGCGGAATGGATAGACGAGCAGAGTCGAGCGCTCCAAGAATCGAGGTTGCAGAAAGAAAAAACAGCTCCTGATTGAAAAGCAAATCGAATTTATCATTATAAAATCACATGAGTAACGCGTAAAGTATAACATCCAAGGCGCGAAGCGCTTGAAGGGGGGGGGATGGACCACGAAGCGGTCAGATGCAGTGGCGTGGCGTGCTTTGCGATCTATCGATATTTCCCCATTTGAAGCTGTGGTAAAGAGTCGATTATTAAGATGTTCGTTGTGAACACCCTGTCTATCGATACTTTTCCATAGGTTTAAATGGTCGATCATTTGATAAATCGCAAACACTGGAAAAAAACACATTGGATCTAGAGTCCAGACTCTCAAAAACATCGACAAGAAAAAATACTCTTGATTCAATCAGATTTAAGCTTAAATCAAGAACCAAGCCTCTTAATTTGAGCGGATTTCCTTTTAATTTAAGCTTGAATCTGATTGAATCAAGAGTCCTTTTTCTTGTCAATGTTTTCAAGAGTCTGGACTCTAGATCCAATGTGTTTTTTTTTTCCAGTGAAGCACGGCACGCCACTGGTCCGATGGTGTAGCCCTAGTCGTGAAAAAATTGAAGTCTGGCTTGATTCAGATCGAAAATTCAGTATCCCTCACCGATGCATCGTCATGAAAGTTGCCAACGCTTAGGAGGTCGAAACACCGGATAAATTGAGCTCCTGCGACGGGTCATGATTTGCAATTTGACTACCTAGCTATCTGTTTAGAATTCCGAGAAAACTAGTTTAATTATGTCTAAATTCAACTTGTAATATCACAAGCAGCCCTCGACTTTAAGACTGTGCCTAATGGTGGTAGCAACAAGGAGAAAAACATGATTACTTTTGCTGCTGTCCTAAAAAGGTACAACCTGAGTTTAGTCCAATGATGTGCGATTTCTTCCATCATGAATCGAGGGGCTTGGAGGACAAGGCGCATAAATGCAGTTTTTGCTATTTCGAGAAATGCAGGGAGATGGATGGTTTGTAGCAGATCCACGATTCTTGCAGGAAATCCATTTTTGAAGTGTATACTAGGTAGTATATTTTTTATGTGGTTTTTACATCAGAAATGCGCACTTGTGTGTTTAAAAGTTATTATAGTCTATTTTAAATATGTCTATGGCAACGCCCAGAAGCCCATTGTAAATATGAAAATATTTAGTTTTATACTTCATGAATTGCAAAATTATTTTCAATCTGTATTACTTAATAAGATTTATTCTCTAAATCAAACGAATATCGTCAACTTTTGTGTGCTACTTCCCATCGACTTATGTAAGTTTTACCTAATAATCGTAAAATCCGAAAAAAAAAAACTACCTAAAATTCCAAATGGGGAGGTTATTATAGTCTATAATTCCAATTCGAAAATCGAGCATTCCAAGTCCTGAAATTGCGAAATCTATTTTGCCAGTTTGAAGGAGGCCGATAAGACCATCATAATTTCCATCAATTTTTTTCGTGTAACCGACGTTTGGTACTACGGTGATGTTTACGCTGAAAAATAGAATCAAAATTAAACGAGTCCCTCATTAGAAAGCACTGCTACAATCCATTGTGACTCAGGGCCTGCATTAAATGTTTATTTCACACACATGTCGAAAAAGCTCAAAAAGACCGTATTCGATAGTGGTTCGATGCATCGCTTGGATCAAAACAGTAGAACATGACCTCAAACAAATATGTTAAGATTTACCTTGCAAAATCTGAAAAAGAGAAAATTCCTGACAATGTCTCTTTTCATTGCCATTTGGTACTCAAAAGAATAGAAAATCTATTACCTAAGACCCGTACCCTCAGATTTCTGAATTTATTTCTGAGGCTATATATGCGCACATGTTGAACCAATCAATATCGATACAATCTCACCTGTTTGATGTATCGAATACGACCTATAACCGATGGAAATATACGCGAGGACCTTTGGAAAATAATGTTCCGTCTTTTGTATCTTCCGAACGGAGAGAGCTAAATATAATCGCCACAAATATAAGTGTTGGCTTTTTCTGAGACTGAGAAAATATGTAACATGTACATATGATTCATATCTTTTTGGGCTGCTTTCAGCTTTTAAGATAAGCCAAAGCCTGGGCTTATGATAATCGGTCGAGAAAATCACGAATAAGCTCAATTTTCCTGACAATGAGCATTGGCGGATCCAGCAAATTGGCAACATTGTCTTTTCTTCATTTAAACCTATGGACATGTATCGATTCTTGGAGGGGCCAGATGCTCCGTCAAGAGTCGATTATTTAGCATAGCTTTAAATGGAGGAAATCCGATGTTGCCAAATTGCTGGATCCGCCTCTGACAAGGAGATGACTACCAGTCCCGTGACCACATGCCCATCTCTCGATATAAAAAGGATGACGTTCGTTGAACTGAGCCCCGATTTATATCTGTAAATTTTCATGGAACATTCTTCATCAAAAAGAAAAATCAGTAAATGTTTGATATATTACATACCATCAAAATAATTAATTAAGAATTAAAGACAATCTATAACAGCGCAAACCAAGATGCATGGTCCCTGAGTTTAACCTGATTCAATACATTAGCCCAATACTATAACACTAGAATAAATTGTGGCGAAAATCAAATAATTTAAACCTGAAATTGTGTATCTCTTGCACTAAATCCCACGCGGTGTAAAACACACGGGCGACTGTTTCTTTGCTCTTGTCTTGATTGTGGTTCCTTAGCGTCTCGAATAGGTTCGGATCACTAAGGTTGTAGTCCATAACCTGAAAAGTAATTCTGAATCATTATGAAACACGGACGTAGTTTCAGCGAGCTGTAACACTGTCGGAATGCAAGTATTTTACATCGTGAGTCGATCACGGCTCGAACTAAAAAATGCAGTTTTAATCTTCCTGAACGCACCCTGCGCCAAACTTGATGATTGATCAACCAATCAAATCATTCAGTGAATCATATATTGTTCCGGGCCCACGCAGAACATTGCAAACATATTGAACACAACAAATGCAAAGAGCTCATCCAAGACAAATCATACCGAACAAACCAAGCACAAAAACCACATGGAAGAAATCAAACATGACAAACACAATTAACACGTCAAACACACAAAACGATGTCGTTATTCGATTGACAATGTGACGAAAGAATTTCGCTTTTCTGACAAATTTAGCCGAAAGTCCGTGGTCCATACGGAAAAAACAAATAATCGAATAAAAAAGTAAGCAGATGTCTGCCTTTCACACTGCTCAGCAGTTACTGCTGTGGTTTTTCGGGTATTAGCCGCACATCAATCGCGAGTCAGAAAACTCGAAAACGCCTTCATTTTTATCGTAGGCAACACAGGTATCTCCTGAGAAGTTGAAATGCATTAGGCGTCAATATCAAAGGCGGGTCAATCACTTGCGTTGTATCGTATTGTGCAGTAAAAACGGCTAGAATGCCTTCATTTTTATCTCTATGCAACAGGACTAACTGTTGAGATGGGATGCTTACGTTGAGTTTTATCTACCACTTCTACCAGTTTTGTATATTCTTCACAGGTGTAAGTTTGAGTCTCTATCATGGGCACTGATCTGGATTAGTAGATGTGAATGGGTTTTTTTAGAGAAGGAAGACCAACGTGAATATGCGATATATCGCATTTCCATTTTTTCAGTTACTCGTCACTTTAAGTCGAATTTTGAGATCGCAATTCTGCTGTCAGGAGACTGAAGAATTATTTTACCAATTTTGACCAAAAAATTCAACGCAATAAAGGCGTAGTTTTTCTGGGGAAAAAATATCGAATTCGATACTGATATCAAAACTGCACTCGAGTGCGATATTTGTTCTAAAAAAAACCACGCCTTTAATACGTTGAATTTGTTTGTTAAAATTGATAAGTAAACTCTTTAGTCCCCTGAAAACAGAATTGTGATCTCAAAATTCAAGAAAAATGACACGTAGCTGAAAAAATGGAACTAATCGATGCGATACATCGCATGTCATTGTTACGCAAAATACGGCGTCCATTGAATCACCTTAAGGAAGACTCGTCGCTTTCAACATTAAGGTGATTCGATGGACGCCATATTTTCTGTCAGAACGGCATGCGATATATCGCATCAATTGGTTCCATTTTTTCAGATATTCGTCATTTTTCTCGAATTTTCAGATCGCAATTCTGTTGTCGGGAGACTAAAGCACTCACTGACCAATTTTTACAAAGAAATTCAACGCAATAAAGGCATGGTTTTTTTTAGAGGAAAAATATCGCATTCGAGTGCAGTTTCGATATCAGTAGGTATCGAATGCGATATTTTTCTCTCTAAAAAAACCACGCCTTCATTACGTTGAATTTCTTTGTTAAAATTGGTAAGTGAGTGCTTTAGTCTCCCGACAACAGAATTGCAATCTCAAAATTCGAGAAAAATGATTAGTAGCTGAAAAAGTAGAGCCAATCGATGCGATATATTGCACGTCGTTCTGACACAAAATATGGCGTCCATCGAATCACCTTCGTTTTCAACATTAACAGAATATTTTTCCTCGTGTTCCATCAATCAATGTTTCATATCGATCAACTCACCGCCAACCCACCCTGTAGAACAATATCTCGGAAATTAATTCTTCTTCGGTAAGTGTCCTCGTCTAAATGCCAGACCAGCCCAGTAGCAGTGTCCCAAGATGCCGCGAGAACCGACTCGATGGGCATACCTTCATGGATGCGATAAATGTCAAAAAGCTTCATGCCCTCCGTGTCTCCCAAAGCGAACTTAACTTCGCTGTACAGCCTTAAATTTATTGGGAGGGAGTTCAAGTTGGTTGCGTTTAGTTTCGTCGACCAGAATAACCAAGATATTGAGTTCGTCGTGAAATTATACCCGCCAACCTGTATTGAAAAATAAAGCATGATGAAGGTTAAAGGGCTAGAGTAAGTATGGTAAAAATGTATGCCAGTTAACATGATGTGATGAATTAGGATTCAGGCATACTCTTGCTCGATACCCATTTTTTTTCTTTTTCTTCTTTTTTTTGATAGGGCATTAATTATTTTGCAGGAAAAGTGTTTGAAAAAAAAAAAAAAACGATAACGACATTTTAAGGAGATTGTATATTTTTAAGTGCTTAAGTTTTTCCTCTCTTTAGTAGTCCGTTTGGACGTATCTCTGCCGAACAGAACTGTGTGCATTATGACGTGAGCCCTGCTATGCATATACGAGTATTCCTATAGGCCTCAGTGCTCATGTCTTAATGCACATAGTTCCATTTGGCAGAAATACGTTCATTTGTGCTAAGCGAGAATTTAACACGTAATGGCAACACTGCTGCGTTTCCCCTCGTATATCCAAAGCCATTTGGGAATGTCCATTTATTGGAAACGGTTGACAATGGTACATTAAATAGACGTATTTATGCTAAAAGGAACTATGTTACATAAAAACCCTATGTGCAAAGTTCCTTTTAGCATAAATACGGTCCAAATTCAAATATGACGAGAAATTTCCAATCGTAATCAAGACTCGAGTTTTGTAATGTCATCACTGATGCGTGGGTACCTACATGTGACGTTGTGCCTACATTTCTGCCGTCCAAGGCATCGGAATTACAAGCGTAAATTCTCCTGGTAGTAAATACGTTAAAAAATATCGTAAAGTACTTAACTGACTGATGGCATGTTTGGCACATTCACAATCGTAATCAACGTACACACCGAGTCTTCTGTAAGTGAACGTTAGAGCCTCTCTACTCAGTTCACATTTTTCATTCAGACCTCCTCGCCCGGTATAAAATGGGTGGTCTATGTCAAATAGGTGCCTTTGCCACAGTAACTCATCTAGAAAATGAAGTGGAATATTACACGTCCGATACTACATGTTAATTTAAGCAGATGTGAACTTACCCAATGATTGACTAATAAAATTCGCTTACAAAAATTCTACCCTGGTAAAAATTGGCGGTAGAATCTATGTTCCAAAATACCATAGACCTACAGCCGGCTGTAAGATTCTATAGCCGGCTACACAATTTTTTAAAGTCTTTTATAGCCGATGGCGATTAAGCAACAACCAGGCGATAAAGTGTATGCTAAACGTTACTAATTACGGATGCTAGGACTTAGTGAGTTTTTGGAATACTGCTCTTTTTTTGGACCGTAGTATCTTGATTTATTTTGCTAGGAAAGCTCCGTACTTTTGATGGATGCCTGCCATTCCTAGTATATTAGAGCGCCTTCAGTTTCGTATGATACTGTGCAATACCTCTGGTGTGAAATAGTTGCTTCAAGCGCCGTGGCACGCTGCGGCGCGGCAGGCGGGTAGCCAGCGCGAAACACGCATTATGGCGCCTACAAACCTAACAGGGATACTTCACGTGTTGCGCAATGCGTGAAGTATCCCTGTTAGGTTTGTAGGCGCCAGTGCGTCGCCGCTCCGCTTTGTGTTAGGCTCTAATATTTAATCTGGCAAAGTCAGCGTTATCCAAATCATGATTTTGAAATGTTTGCACATCCTGTATGGATTATTCTCATTTTAATTGATGAAAAAAAAAAAAATATGTATTGAAGGAAAATATAATGTGTGTTTTGTAAATATTAAGGTGGTTCCGTATCGAACTTAATGATTTCCAAAGCGCTCGAATTTCTACAAAATTTCGTATAGCCTTTCATAATCGATGGCGAAAAAGCAACAGCCAGGCGATAAAGTGTAAAGCCCGGCGATAGGAACTATAGCCCGGCTGCATAATTTTTTATCCCTTTGTATAGCCCGGCCGTATGATTTTCTCCGCATTCTACAGCCAGCTATATGATTTTCTGTAGCCTTCTTTAGCCGGCTATAAGAATTCCTATGGTATTTTGAAACGGAGCTCTTATCGCCAATTTTTACCAGGGTACCAAAGCTGGACAGCTGCGAAAAACTAATTGGCACGCCGTTAAAAATTCAAATTTTCTAGCATTTTGACAACGTTAGTAAAATCAAGAATTTCCGAGATTTGCAGTGTTGATGTAAAAATCCAGACTTTTCGAGAATTCGGTAATATTGGTAAAAATTCACTCTCTTCGATAATTTGGTACCATTGGTAACATTTTTAATCTCTCTGTTTGAAAATTTTTAGTTAAAAAATTCCTTGTTTCCGAGAACTCTGGAAATTTCGAAAAGTTGCATACGAGGGCTTTGCATTAGAATTTTGGCAACGTCCGTAAAACTCGAAATTTTCAAGTTTAGAAAATCAACCCTTTTCGAGCATGTTGGCAAAGTTGCGGTATAATTTAGAATTTCCGCAAAACTTGACAACGTTGACGAAATGTAGCATTTCTAGACATTCTGGCGACGTTGAAAAGTCGCAAGATTCATGCAATTACAACTTCCCTTCCGATCAGATCGCCGAAAATCGGCACTTATCGACCAAAGGTTGACCGAGATTTGCAACTTAGTTGCAACCTGTTGTTAGTTGCGACTTTTTAACTAATATATTTCAACTTCTTGCAACTTTTACGTTGCAAAATGCTATACTTGGGTATAAAGGAATATGAAAAGTGTACACTTTTACCATTAAAGGAACAGGTTATCAAGATGACTGTTTCTCTTTCCACACCGGGCGAGGAAAAGTAATTAGCAACCATTTCGGGGATTATTTCACTGCTCAATTCTTTCAAGTAAATAAATAGCAGCACAAAGATGAGCTGTGCTCCCATTATACTGTCCTGTGCGAGTAAATAATCAGCAGATTAGATTATTCAAACCTGCAACGATGTTTCAAATCTGCGAAAAAAGAGGAAGAAAATTAGCATTTTTCCTCTCGAGAAGCATTTTTAGACGAATTTTCATCATTCATTTCAGAAAGTATCAGTGAAAAGCAGATTAAAACGCAAATTATGCACCTCCTGAACTTCAACGAGAGACCTTTCCCGCGCGCGCGCGGTTCGCGGAACTTCGAACGGACTTGTTCCAAGAACTTATTTCGCCTTAGCTACAACTTGTTCCTCGAGCTCTTCACTAGTTCGCAAAACTAATTCGCCCAAACTGGGCTCGTATGGACAAGACTTGAAGGAGAAGAAAAAAAGAGGACAAAAATGTTGACATTTTGAGAAAACACCATGGGACCGTGGTTGACCATTATTTATCATGATATGTATCCCATTTTTTTTCTGAAATGTGGATTCAAAAGTGAAGTGCGTGAAGGAAATAGAACTTTAAAGTGTCTGATGCTTACCTCTCATAATTACACTACTCAATTGGTGTAATGGTACCCATTCCCTGAAGCTTTAGAACGCAGCGATCAACGAAAAGCAGGGAAAAACACGAAGCTTCAGTCCCCTCGTTGATATTCCTCGCAAAAAGCTGAAGCGCCATGCTCAGTTTGTCCCTCAGAGAATAAGGTGACTAAATTTACACGGTGCCTAGTTTTCACTCTCTAACGCTTCTCAACGAGTGCTTCCGGAAAGAACGATGAAAGAGAATTCTCAGATGAACTTCAGAACGTCTGTCTGTCTGTCTGTCATGCAGTGTGAGGCGTGCTTCGCGATCCATCGATATTTCCCTATTTGAAGCTGTGGTAAATAATCGATTATTATGATGTTCGCTGCGAACACCCTGTTCATCGATACTTTTCCATAGGTTTAAATGGCCGATCAATCGATATATCGCAAAGCACGCTGCTCCACTGCTATCATGGTGCAACGAAACGGTGGCGTGACACCTCGTTAGGGTGACGTTGACGGTGATTTCAAGCGATGCTTTGGGGGACCACTCAACGAGGGAAATAGACATACTGTGAATGATTCAGTTCTCAATCCCTTTAATTTCTTCGTGTCTCGTCCGTGTGACTAAAATGTCGAAGGAGCGAGGGTAAGGAATAGCGAGGAATAATATCTACAAAAGCACGAAAACGATGAAGAATGAATGGGAAGTTATTGATAAAATATTCATAGCTCGCACACCACTCGCACAGATTTCGGTGACAAAAATTTGACAGACAGTTAAGTTACGAAGGGGTGCACAAAATTAGGGATGCACGGGCCATGTCAAGCCGCAATTAAGGCTATCAGGGAAAATTATCCATTCGAGGAAAACTTTGCCGTAGACTCGTCGAGGCAAAGTAAAGACCGATTTTCGTATAGTCCAGTCAAATTAGCTCCAAAATAGGGCAATTTGGGAAAATCTCATAGAGGGTTTCTTTGCGGAGACAGGTTGCAATCGGCCACCAGAACAACATAATAAATGTTAATGTAACAGAGCCGACCAGCGACCGCACTGTTTGGCGCAATGCGTGAAGTGTTCCTGCACTTTTGTAGGCGCTAATATGCTTTCCGTACCGGCCAGCGACCGCAGTGCGTTTGGCGCAATGCGCGAAGTATTCCTGCACTCTTGTAGGCGCTAATATGCTCTCCGCACCGGCCAGCGGCCGCACTGCGTTTGGCGCAATGCGCGAAGTATTCCTGCACTCTTGTAGGCGCTAATATGTTTCCCGCGCCGCGCCGATCAGCGGCCGCGCCGCACTGCGTTTGGCGCAATGCGTGAAGTACTCCAGCACTCTTGTAGGCGCGTATGCTTCTCGCGCCGACCAGCATTCGCACTGTTTGGCGAGATTAGAAACGATAATACATTAGTTTTGAATGAAAATGCAGAAACAGAGGAAAGATTAATAAGTTTGAAGACTGGCTGAGTAAAATTGATGAAACAGTCTATGCAGAGTGTAGACAAAAATATTCGAATAAAGTGTAGGTATCGAAAATTTAATGAAAACAAGGAGCATAAGCTAGGTAATGTGAGTGAAGTGGTTTATTCAAAGGCGGCAAAAAGGTCCCTAGCGTGGTTTTGACCAGTTTCTAGTATGGTATTCTACTATATTGGATAGGTACGTCTGCAAAATTTGAAGGCCTAAAACGATTTTTTTTCCTTGCAACAGCGTTGCCAGGTGTGAAACTGTAAAGTTCCATATCCATTGAACGAAAAAAGATTTTAAATTGCAGTTTGCTCGAAAATTCTTCTAAAAATACGTTATTGAGTTGGAGGTTTTATTAATTTAAACTTGCAATGTTGCCATTTTTCATTTTATTCCATGATCGATTTTTTCTAAAATTATAGTACATCGTCAAATGCCTCTTTTTGAAATCAAACAAAAGGCTGTCCATTGGATTATTCGTACTTCTTCATTTCTTTGGGTATATTATCCCTCCCACTGAAACAATTGGTACTTGAGATATGAGCTGTCAAAGTTTACGCTTTACGCGCGCCGACTAGATTCCGCGCGCTCAGAGTCATCTACACTCCCACTCCCTTGCAACCAACAAGTTTTACGAGGTATTTTTTTGCGTAGTTCCGATTTCTGGCCTTTTAGACCCTGGTAAAAATTGGCGATAGGAGCTGCATTTCAAAATACTGTAAGAGTTCTTATAGCCGACTGAAGAGGGCGATAGAAAATCATACAGCTGGCTGTAGAGAGTGGAAAAAATCATACGGCCGGGCTACACAAAGCGATAAAAAATTAAATAGCCGAGCTAGTTCCTGTCACCGGGCTTTACACTTTATCGCCTGGCTGTTGCTTTTTCGCCATCGATTATGAAAGGCTATACGAAATTTTGTAGAAATTCGAGCGCTTTGGAAATCATTAAGTTCGATACGGAACCACCTTAATATTTACAAAACACACATTATATTTTCCTTCAATACATATTTTTTTTTTTTTCATCAATTAAAATGAGAATAATCCATACAGGATGTGCAAACATTTCAAAATCATGATTTGGATAACGCTGACTTTGCCAGATTAAATATTAGAGCCTAACACAAAGCGGAGCGGCGACGCACTGGCGCCTACAAACCTAACAGGGATACTTCACGCATTGCGCAACACGTGAAGTATCCCTGTTAGGTTTGTAGGCGCCAATGCGCGTTGCGCGCTCTCTGCCCGCCCGCCGCGCCGCAGCGTGCCACGGCGTCTGAAGCAACTATTTCACACCAGAGGTTTTGCACAGTATCATACGTAATTGAAGGCGCTCCAACATATTAAGAATGATAGGCATCCTTCAAAAGTACGGAGCTTTCCTCGCAAAATAAATCAAGATACTACGGCACATTCAAAAAGAGAGCGGTAGTCCAAAAACTCACCAAGTCCTAGCATCCGTAATTAGTAACGTTTAGCATACACTTTATCGCCAGGCTGTTGCTTAATCGCCATCGGCTATAAAAGGCTATGAAAAATTGTGTTGCCGGCTATAGAAGCTATTGGAAATCTTACAGCCGGCTGTAGGTCTATGGTATTTTGGAGCACAAGTTCTACTGCCAATTTTTACCAGGGGAAGGCCTCACATGAATATTTAAGGGCCTCACGGTCCATTGTTGCCATTTTTTACCCAATTTTAGGGTTTTTTTTACAATTTTACTTAAGTAAGACTTAATTTGAACTGAAAACTGTGTACATTTTTGAAAGAAAATAAAAAAATAAATAAAACTAAATTTATAACTTTTTCCTACTTTGCCAAATTTTCAAGACAAATCGTCTCTATGAGCCAAAAATGGAAAAAATTTCATAAATTGCCGTGCTAAAGTTCAAGAAACAGGGGCACAATTTTCATATTGATGTACATAACAGCTCATACCCATCCATACAACAGATCAAAGCAGCATAATTGGACGTGGATTCCCATGATATGAAAATTGACCGGGATGTCACGTTGTGCGGCCTACCTTCTTTGTAATTAAGGTAGCTCTTTTGAATGTTTTTTGACCTTTAGTGACACTTCATGCCCAAGTAGCATGGATTGCAATTTCATTGCAATGGATTGTGAGTTGATTGCAATTTTTGCTTGTTGCCTATACGTTCATTTGAAGGCGCTTAAAAAGTTGCAATTTTATTGCAATAAGTTTGCAAGAAATGTAGATTATGCTTGTTGCCTAACCTTCTTTTTCAAGGTACTATAAAGACTGCAATTTCGGTGCAATCATGTTGTAACAAATTCACGCCATGTGCCTGGCATCCAATTCTCTAGTTGTTTTAAAGTTTTTTCGACTTAAATGTCTCACCTAACCCTTATAGCCCAACATATTTTGAAAATATTGTCACCTTTATCAAAATATTTTCATGGCAATATTGTAATTAAAATATTTTCAAAATATTTTTAAAACATTTTAAAGGAATATTTTGAAAATGATTACAAAAAATATTTTGAAAATGATTACAAAAAATATTTTTAAAATAATTCAAAAATATTGCCTGTAAACATGCATGTTAAAAATATTCCTTAAGAAAGTTTTGAAAATATTTTAAAAATATTTTTTGAAAATATTTTTAAGTTCTCAAGTTAGTATGTGGTGTAATTTACACCGGTGTAAATTTAGTGTGAGTACCTATTACGTGATATCGAAAAAAAAAATCAGACAAAAAAAATATGAAAAAAATAAATAACACGAAAAAAAATAAATAATAGGCAAAAGAAAGAAGCCTGAGAAAAACGGCGTTATTCAAATCTATGATGAATGTTGAGCCACGCACTGACGCAATGCATGCGATAACAGCCTTAAGAGGCGTGATTTCAACCCAACTCATCATCAGCTCCCTGTAGCTCAGTGGAAAAGTGCTCCGCTTAGAAATTCGCAGGTCGGGTTCAAGCCCACTCTAGGGCGTCCGGTATTTTATGCTGCTAAACGTCGTAGGACATTAGGTAAGCATGGGTTCGAATTATTATAATTTCCCCGGAAAATTTAGGGGTTGAAATTTAAAGGTCGTCAATATTGAAATTTCTTTGCAAAAAAAAAAAATTGCAACTTTTTTACAATGAGGGGGTCAGATGTTGTAAAATAATTGCAATTTTCTTGCAAGAAAGTTGAAATCATCTGGAAATTTTATTGCATTTAAATTGCAATTTTTTCGTTGCAAAATGCTACTTGGGTGAGGGGTGCACACTATGCATTTTTTCCGTACTTTTCATTTTTGGCCATTAAAACGGCTCCTGAATAATTTTAGGGGCCTTATAGCCCATTGTTGCCATTTTTGGCCAATTTTTACAAGTTTTTCAATTTTAAACGTGTTTCACTTAATTTAACCTAAAAACTGGGTACATTTTTTGGAAATAACTTCATAACATAACTTTTCCTTGCGTTACCAAATTTTCGAGAAAAATTGTCTTAAAGTGCCAAACAATGGATTATTTTACATGTTGGTAAACTTTATCGTAATTTTCCGTGAAGGATATGTTACTGGTAGTGAAATAAAACCTAAAACTCACATTTTCCACATGGAAGTCATCATTTACCTCCTAGATCCTTTGACTTGATAATTATTCAACTTTTCAGCACTTGAGGACGATTTTCCTCGAATATTTGGCAACGTAGGAAAAATATGTGAAACTAGTTTCATTTATTTTTTATGTTTCTCCCAAAAATGTACACAGTTTTCAGTTTAAATTAGGTTTTGCTTTAGAAAAATTGAAAAAACCCTAAAAATAGGTTAAAAATGGCAGCAATGAACTGTGAGGCCCTTAAATATTCATCTGAGGCCTTTGAAAAGGTCAGAAATGGAAAGTATGCAAAAAAATACGTATAAATGACCTTGTGAAACTTGTTGGTGGTAAGGGAGAGGGTGTGCAGACGACTCTGAGCTCCCGGATTCCAGTCGGCGCGTGCAAAGCGTAAACTTTGAAGAGGAAAAACTGACAAAATGTGAAATTGAATTATAAAATTTTATTCACAATTTTAAAATTTACAGGGGAGTCATCCTTCTTAAGCCTAATTTTAAGATGAAAATTTAAAAGCATTCCAAGGTTTAAGCCGACGAGTCATTTGATTTCTTCCTAAAGCGATGATAAGCTTTCTTAGTAAGCTTTTGATTTACTCGATGATCAATGCTGCCATCTGAAAAACAGAGAACAGAATTAAGTTTGGCAGTGACTTAACATAACAAAGTTCATGAGTAAGGAAAAGATGTGTATTCTGCGCAGAACACCTTTAAAGATCTTTATAAAATTAGTTTCCAAAGCATTTCAGAAAAAGGTAAAGCATAACTGATTAAAATCTTGCCTATTCACAAAAATGGGGAATTTAGTGACGAAGAAGTCATGAAAGAGATGAAGGTATTCAAATTCAGGGGCGTGTTTTACAAAAAATTTACCAAAACTAAGATCTAAAAATGTCACACCCACCTACCGATACGATCGTTTGCAGTTAGCAGTTCGAAGAATGTAGTTTCAAGAGGAGGCCATGAAAAGTATTACTTGACCTACCACAATCAGGATTTCAGGGTGTTCAGTCAAAATGAAACCTTACACCCTCCATCCACACAAAAATAAAAAGAACTGCTTACAACTTGACGTTAAAGACATCCTTGATAGGTAAGTATTTTTAGCCTTCTTTACCCATTATTCTTGCATTTGATTTTTTGATGAAGCTTGACTAATTTGGTTAGTTCAGTCTATTTTTTGTGTATTGTTTTTATTCTTTAAGATAATTATGAGTCATAGGCCTCTAGAAAAGGCATGAATTAAGGCACTACGCAAAATTTGCTCTTTTCAAAGGTTCACAAGAAAATGTATCACACGACAGAAAGTCTGAAAATCAACTCCTACATAAAATTAGAGTGTTTACGATTAACTTCAGTTAAATGGCAGACATAGAAATGACATCATTGGTATAATCAAACTTTCACTTGCTTCATATTAAAAATACTTGTTGGATCTCGTTCAGCAGTTGATTTAAGAACATCGCGATGTGTATATCATTTTGAAGAGAAAACATGTGACGTTTTTGTCTGATTCGGACCTTGCGTGATGTCCTATTCGGTGATCGATAAAAAAAATTCAAATTATTTCACCCAACTTGAGGTAAATCTCTTCAGCCACAAGCTATATTCTTATTCTCATGAAGTACTCTTTATACATTAAAGCTCATTCAATGTAAATTTTACCCTATATAAAAAATGTCTACTTACAATCGAAGAATTTTATCCTTTCCTCCGGATGCCACCCGTGATCCATCAGGGGCCCAGTCTACAGCGAACACCTGATCTGCATGACCTGGTAAATCTTCTTGTAATTTTCGGTCCTTAAGATTCCACACTTGGCAACAAAAATTAGTCTCATTAGAGATACAGTCATAGTTTTAACTTTATGCTGCAGGCATGTGAGATATTTTTGTGAAATGACCTAGCATTTCAAGTATTGATACACATTTGGGAAATATTTGAAGAGTTAAAAGATCATTTGGCACTGAGAAACTTTATCCTCTATTTGTCCACTATCCACTACTTGTTTCAGAAGCAAACTTTCTATTAATGCACAGCTGAATTTATACTTACAAATTCTGCAAGTCAATTGGATAGACTTAATTAGAATCGGATAGACTTAATTAGAATGTTTTATATTTGAGACCACAGAACTCATGAGAAAATAAATACATAGTTACTTGGATGTTTGGAGTTTCATGCAGTGAATATCAGAAAGTGTAACTGTTCGAGAGATACAATTGTAAAAATTGCAAATGGGGAAAATTCTCAAAAGTTTGACTTACATTTCAAAGTCGAGTCAGCACTTCCGCTCACAAGTAAACGTGAATCGGCAGACCATGCTACCATGTAAACTGCTTGCACATGACCTCTCAAAACCGTCAAGTATCTGTCAAAAAAATTAGGACAATAAATAAAAATTACATAAAAAACGTTGTTATCATATTTGTACCCAAAGAATTGAAACTACAGGGTTGATTTTTTCTTTTTTTTTTATGAGATGGCTGTTTTTAGAAAATATAATGAACTGCATGAAACTGAAATTGTTCATGTGTATATGGGAAAATCAATGTAGGTACGTTCTCAATTTTAATTCTAAATGTCATTGCTGCAATACTCTTTGTTTCTTTGAAACTGGAAAAACGTAGATATTCAGTATTGAAATTGTGCAATCGAAAGTAGCAATTAACTCACAAACAGTAAAGTACTTGGGCCAAAAAATGAAAAAAAACCAGATTTCTAAATCAAAATAAAGGAAGAACTTGAGAAAAAATGATCTAACATTGTGGTAATTATCGCAATAACACCAATAATGACTTTTGTGTAGAAAGTTATGTAAATCATAACGCCAAGGTGTTAGAGTAATACATTTTATTTAGAAAGCCGAAGCTTTTTGATCATTAGGATCATTTTCAAGGCGGTAGGAAGAGGCACTACTAGCTGCTTGATGTAGTGCTTCTTTCTCTTGCCTTGAAAATGATCGTAATGATCAAAAAGCTCCGGAACTCTAAATAAAATTTATTGTTATAACATCTTGGCTTCATGATTTACATAACTTCTTACATAAAAGTTGGGGAGACATGTTTAGATACAGAAACGGAGGAAGGTGGAGGCTGATGCTGCTTTACTTTGACTAATTTCAGAATGGGCTAGTATCTATAGAGTAGGCCCTGTCATTCCTCTTGCAAAAATACTTTGCCTGAAGTTAAAGAACTTACTTTCCAGTCCTTCCATCCCAGATCTTGACGGATTTGTCAAAAGAAGCTGATGCAATCAACCGTCCATCTGGCGAAAATTGGACATGGTTGATAAGTTGTTGATGACCAGTCATGCGAGCTGAAACACACATTGTAAATTGGATATGTGTGAGATTGAGAGATATTTAACCCTTTTTGTCCAACAATTTTTGAAACCTTTAACTGGCAGCTCAACATGGCTTACCACATCAGCCTCATAGGTTGAACGGAAAGGGATCTTGGTACGGTCATGTTGGCTACATTGGACTTAAAGTCAACCCATCAGAAGAAGAATTGCTATAGCGATAAGTGTATTGAGCCCCGATTTGTTCTGTTATCAGCGAGCTGCAGTTGACGCACCGCAGAATCTTCTTGATGGCTGAATTATTTGGCTGTGCTATTGATCCCTCCTTTTATTTTAATTATTTTAAATGTTTTTTAACTCTCTATAGCATGAATTATATCTGAGCCTTAGACTCAGGGGGGACACAAATCTGTCATTCCTCTTGTAAAACTACTTTGCCTAAAGCTAAAGAACTTACTTGCCAGTCCTCCCATCCCAGATCTTGACGGATTTGTCAAAAGAGGCTGATGCATGAAAACATCATGTTTCTAATTATTTCGGTAATAATTTTTCCAAAAAAGAAAATATAGATCAATATTTGCAACATTGTCACAGAGAAATTATTGAATTTGTTTTAAAAAAACCAAAAAAGCGTTGTTACAAATCAGTAGCATCATGCTATGGGGGGTTAAGGGATTGAACAGCTTTTTGTAACTCAAAAATTTTAATAATTCAAGTAAAAATGACTAGTGTTGATTTTTTTTTTTTTCTTTTTTTTTTTTAACGGAAGATGATTCTGTTTCAGCAAGAAGAGGAGCTGGTAATAAACAGGGGCCCTATTTTATGACCCTTGACTGTAATATTTAGCTTTTCAAAACTAATAAATCCTGCAATTTAAAGACTTGGGTTTTTTTTGCAATATTCCCAAAATTAGGAAAAAAAAACGGTTTTCACACAGGCCAATTTGTACTGCGTTCACAAAGGAGTGAATCATGTCTTACCAATGGGTTTCTTATCCGTTTCTGGCTTCCATAAGAACAGAGTAAAGTCGTCAGAACCGGAAACTAATCTCTCTCCACCATCTTCATCACACATCATTTTATACTTAGATACTGCTTCTTGTTGCTTCTCCTCCACTGAAAAATTTCAGGAGAAGTAAGTAAGAACACAAAAAAATTAATCATTTAAGAGGGAGAAGTTCAAGAACAAAGGAAAAAGAATTTCAAGAACAAAGGCCCTAAAAACGATTGAAGGTTTTTGAAAGATTAATATAGCTTTTGGAAACACAGAATCATGATTTCTGCATCATGAGGTGTACATAAAATCATTTCATATTCAAAGCTTTTTTGGTCATTTTCAAAGGAGAAAAAAGCCCTTGACGAAGGGAGGTGATCATCAGTATGAACAATTTTTTTTATTCAAAGTTTTGTCTGTTTTTAGGTTTGTACACTTTCAAGGCGTTCTTCTTCTAGATGAAATGAGAAAATACCAGAAAAATCGAAAAACTAGCCTTTGGATTCTATCTACCTCTAAAGACTATGGAATAATACAATGATTAAAAACTTTACATTATTTCGGCTTATTATTTCTGACACAAGCTTTCTGTACAGCCTCTTGTCAAAATTTCATCATAAAAACTGCACTGATACCAAAAGCAGGATTGCCCCAGAATTTAGAAAACAAATTTCCTGACACATCCCTCATTTCCCTCCTGGCATTTTCTTGATTTCCTCAACACATTTTCTTGCGTAAATTTTCTGTAAAATCCCTTGAAATTCGAAGATATTCCAGATGCTTAAATACACATAATTTGAAACAGTTTTTAGGCGAAATTGTATTGTTTGAATCCATCCTAGAAAACAAATAAAAGTGACTAAAGAGTTGTTCCCTGATTTTTTAAAATTCTATGACATTTCCCAGCTTCCCTCGTATTCCATAACTGCAGCAACCCCACAAAACGTGAAAAAATGATATTTAAGAGCCGATACACAATTTAAATTCAATTTTTGGCTAAGGCAATATGATCTATTTGATGGGAATGAAGATAAGTGAGAGAATTCATTATGAACATTATTACTGTAACTGAGATATGCAGCAAGGTGATTCTTTTGTATTGGTGCTGATTGATATGATTCTAGGTCATGTTTACAATTTATGATGATTGACAGAAAAAAGTATTGAACGGAAAGATTACTGAGACATTACACTATGATACTTAGACAAATTTCAACTTGGAATATCTGAAGTCTGAGATAACAGTACTCCTAAAGAAATTTCACATGGGTTCAAGAGGAATTTCACACTTACAAGATTTGCTGTTGTGGTCGTATGAATGGAAATTTACTGCACCGGTCCGAAGGATATATTCTGTGCTCAGCGCCAGGGTGTTCACCCAATGAGCATGACCAAGAAGGCTTTTGCATAGAACACCCTGCAAGAAGAGAAAAAAACAGAATTGATACACAGTCAGCTGGACTCATTTGAGGCCACTCTGTAGGTCATAAATTGACCTTTCTTAGAAAATTTTCATGGAAATTATGTCATGTTGAACAAAGAAGAAGTTCGATGATACTTTTTTGCTATGTTGGTGCTATAAAAATATATAAGGCAAAAAATAGAAGCCAAAAGTTCCCCTGAAAAGTCCAAAGATAGTCCTTATGACTGTATGCAAAACGAACAAGAAAAATGATTTTAAGTTTGGTTACTGTTTTAAGATTATTAAAAGGAAAATAAGAATAGCTGCCAACATTTTCATTCTTAAGAGGGAATAGAAATGGTAAGCTATGGAGAGTAGTTGGGATAATCTGGACATCAAACATCCCAGATTAATAATAAAACTTTTACTTTGGAGTTATCATGAAATGATTTAACTTGGCTGGGCGTTTTTAATTGTTAGAATCATTGTTTCAAATAACAAAGGCTGAATCATTTTAAGTTTCATATTCATTATTCACATTTTTTTGTGAGAATAATACAAGAGAGGTACTGAAAGATTCTGAAGGATATCTTTACGTACAGATTTAAAAAAAAAAAAAAAAAAAAAAAAAAAAAACCTTTTAAAAAGTTTTTAAAATTTCCTTTAAGGATCATGATTTTCTGATTTATCAAAACTTGTGGGGGAATTCTGATTCACATTTTTTAGATTTCAAACTTTTGAGGTTTCAACAACCAAGTTCAAAATAAAACCAGAAAATTCCTGAGAGGTAGTCGAATAAAGAGAATAGTCCTTAAAATAATTGTTGACTTCTCCAATTAAAGTAACTTACATCAGAGGAACGCCAAACTTTAACAGATCGGTCTTGGGATGATGTATAGATCAGTCCAGATCCTCCCCAAATCACAGCCGTTACGCTCATTGTATGACCAGAGATGGTTCTTTCACAGCGACCAGTGATGGCATCCCATATCCTTACATCGCCATCTTTGGAGCTACTGGCAAACCTGCAAAAATCGCACCAAACCTAATAGAAGGGCATCTGAAAATTTTGCCAAAATAGAGATAGTAAGGATAATAACTTGAAGATTAACTCAAAGGGAGAAAAAAACAGACCATCAATGATGTGAAAAGTTCTTGATGACTCACCTGCGGCAAGTTGTATTTAAGTGAAAAGGCTCCCAAGTAATTCCTGTTATCCACTGTTTATGACCGGACATTTGAGCTAATTTTTTTCCAGAGTTGGCATCCCATGTCATTACTCGGCCACTTTTGCAACCAGAGGCGAGTCGTGTACCGTCAGGCGACCATGCTAAGCTCAATACCCAATTAGGGTGACCTGAAAATTATGAAGTTACTATGAGATTCTTTTTCAAGAACACAAATCATGTCTTCAGTAAATAAGGCAAGGCATCTTCTTAGAAGAATTAAGACGCTTGAGACTGGAATAATCGCGTCTATCCATAAGTGCCATTCATCCACTCACATCATATAAGTACCTTGAAGAGCCATCTTGACCAGCAAGATTATTCCTTGAAAGGAATATTGATAGTTTGCAAACAAACTGGTGCATATTTCATAATCTGAATTGATTTATGTATTCACTTACTCACACATACATTTTAAGTCCAACTACGCTGTTAAGGCCCAAAAGTAGCAAAACCCTTCGTATGAAATACTGAACATAAATACCTACCAATTAGTAAATTTTAAATTCTGCATTTCCATACAAAGGAAAAAATAGTAGAAGAATCAAGGTAAAATTGGTCTTTTAAGATTGTTATCTTTCATAAAATATTGCTCTAACTAATTCTTATCCATCACATTCAATCATAATGCATTGTTCATCCTATATTATAAAATATGATTAATTATTTATAGTTTGCAGCTTTCTTTTTTTTTTATAGTCTCCTATCTAAGTTCTGAGACCATTACCAAAAAAGAAGAATATTTCAGTGATCTACCTTGCAAGGTATGATGAGGAGTCTGAGTGTGGATGTCCCAAAGCCTCACTGTTGTGTCACCGGATCCACTTGCCAACTGTGATCCATCAGGACTAAATTTCACCACAACTACAGCTTCAGCGTGCCCTGGAAGAGTGCTTGACAGAAAAGAAACAGGACAGAAAATAAGTAAGGAAAAAATAAGTGCTCCTGCTTCTTTTAGGATGATTAGAATAAATCAATGCTGAAACTGCTGAAACGTATACCTTACTTAGTTGCTGTGTATAAAAATCCCCACTTCAAATTTGTTTTTGAAAAACACTGGGCACTGAGCAAGTGAGCAAGGGAGTAAGGAAAGTTTATAGGAAGAGGTTTCCTCCTCTGAATACAAGAGCTCTCGCAGATGCTCCTCTTGCTCCTTCAACTATTATCACATAGCGCATCCCTCCTATTAGGCTGAGCCACAGTACAAATCTTTCCTCCTCTGCCAAACTTCTGAGCAATATTTAGGAATATAGCTAATTGACAGCAAACCATGCCATGAAATAATTTCCGATCCGAAATCAATGGCATGTCAAGCCACTAGAATGATCAAATAATGTCATGAAAATACATAGAAAAAACATACCTTGTGCATCTCGTTACTGGTCGGACTCTAAATACAGCTTGCTCTTGATAAATGATGTCAACGACATGTTCTGTATTCAATTTGTTAATGTCTAGTACATCAACTAAACAATTATTGATTTCCTTCTCCTCCACATAAAATGCATACAAGGCGCTTTCATCCTGATAACAGATACACGTATCATGATTATTTTGTGGGCCAACCACGTTGCAGAATCTGATCATTGATAGCACTTTTTCATCAACCATCAACACTGGGGCAATGAAGCAACTATTGTTGTTAAGCTGTCACTACACCGCGTTTTAGAATAGCAATAAACTTCTATGTGGGCGCAATTTTCGGAAACAGATAGATTTAATTAGCTCGGGGTCGAAATATTGTTAACTCCATGTGTCTGTATACTGAGTTGTTAGATTTATAATGCTAATGAGCAATCATTTTTGCCAGCTCTGAAAACACCAATATTTGCTGGTGTAGGTTAAGGTAGTGAAAAAGGTAAATAAGTACGTGCCTCCGATACAGCCCATCCAAGTTGACTAAGTAAACGCTCTGTTGAGTTGAATTTCATGTAGTCTTGGCAGGAAGTTTGAGACAGGATTCCAGTTCTACAATATTCTCCACGTTAATTCTCTGATTCTTATCGGTCCAATTTCCCCCAGGGTGAGTGCCAGTTCTGCAATATTCAATTCTTTTTTTGTCCTCTCTTCTGCCTAGGCCGAACTTCCCGCCAAGACTGAAACAAAACCAGCGCGACTAGGCATTTTGTTAATTTTGGGTGCTTGAATAGGGGAAGGGCATACCTTCTTTTCACTTACCTCTAGAGTGCCAGCACTCTTGACATTGCCACTTTTTGAAAGAATCGCTTCAACAGCTTAGGTACTTAAAACCAATAAGATATTCCTACATCAGCATTAAGTACTATTAGTGGTTCCTTGTAGAGAGTTTTCAACATTTTAAAAACACCCCCTCCCCCCCCCTGAATTGACAATGGTATTTTATGCATGAGCAATCCTATACCATTCTTCAAAACAGTGAAATGTGTCCTAATGTATACAACATACCAAAAAAAGAAACAGAGTTCCTTGATGTTAACATTGAAGTTTTTCTGTCTCAGTACATTTGGCAAATGTTATCCATAGTAACTTACTTGATACTCAGGATAAAAGTCATAAAAATTTCCTAGGTCTTAAAGGAAAAAACACACCTGTTGTAAAAGTGTTCGGCATATAATTTGAAGATGCTCGTGAGTGACTGAATAAGGAAGATCTAGTTGTGTGCCCAACGGCTCACCACTTTCTGATTTGAATTGGCACAGGATTCTCTTGTCATTGATTTCTTCAACTGTTTCGTCCATTTTGTCAGATTCCATCGTTGTATACGAGAGGGTTGTGCGGTATGCAGCAGTCTATAAAAAATTAAACAGATTAGAATTGGAAGTAGGTAATATAGGACAAGAGGCCTACATGTAACTGGGGATTTAATTGTCAATACTGCATTTATTCAATATTATTCAGTAAAATCTACATTGAATCACATGATATCGATGGTGAGACTGCAGGAATGCGTATCTCGGTTTGCGCGTTGCAGACCTCTTGTCATACTTCATTTTCGGCATGGAAAACTACTGAACGTCATTTTTTGAAAATTTTAGTAATTTTTTTCTCTTTACAGAGAATATTACATGAAAATTTCAAGCGTGATGTTAGTTCGGTCTCCATTTGAAAAATAAAATTGGAGCGGAGATTTTGAAAAACCGCAACCAAGATACTCATTCTTGCAGTTTCATCATCGATATGTAACTGGGGCAATAGCATTTGCATTTATTTTTTTTTTTTCAACTTTGAGTTTTTGGCACTGAGAAAGTAGACGATTAGTGAAACTCCAAAACATCCTTAACTCAATTTATTTGAAAATGTGGGTTGGTTCCTTTCTGATAAACTCGGTCCATTTAAAAACGACTGCATTGCAATCAATGTATTGCTGTTTTGTTGTACTTGTTGGCTATTAATGCAGACTTCCAATAGCCATTGAGGAATGACAGTTAGCAAAAACACTGCCATGCGCAGAAACAAATATCGGTGTACTACATTAGGCAGCCAGAAGTAAACAACTGCCAATTTATCGGACGCAATTTCTAGAGCTCACGTATCGTATGTTGAGACAAACTTCAAAGTATTGTTTATGTAACCACTCATCAGTGGTTCCATCTGACTGCATGTATTTACCTGTTGAGTGGTGCTAATGCAGAGCTAATCAGAGTTCGTCTCAACATACGATGCGAGAGCTCTCGGGACCTGTTCCGTCGAGCCATCATAGACCAATGATCAGGCTCACCATCGAGAGTAGAACTATAGATTAGACAAACGCCAGAGGGATCTAGAAGAAATGCACATTGCAAAAACATAGCTACTTGTGTAAGTCCCTGCCAAGATTCTTCCCTCAATTGGTGTGATTACAACTGTATCGCATGAAAAGGAAATCGAGAAGAGTTGCAGATGTTGTTAACGTACAGACTAGTGCATCCCAGAATACCAAAAAAAAGAAATTTCACCTGCTAACTGGATGGTGAAATCCAAATACTCGTTTCCAGTTCGAAAATATTGAGAAAATGTGTTCAATTATACAAAAAACATTCCTCCCTCTTGCGAGGCGAAGGAGTTTCGGTACCTAATAACCATGAGAATGAAGAGCACTGATTAACAATTCATTTATGAATGGACTGACACTAAGACAAATGCTGAGTTCCACGAACTGAGCTTAAGTAATTACGATACATGAAACGCAAAAGTTGCTTGAAAAGTATTAAAAGTTAGAATACCACGTGCACGTGATTATCTTATCACTATCAGTTGCCCCATGTCAACAATGAAGAAACCAAGGTTGTTGGTTTTGAAGTGACGTCATTCTTGAGGAACATCTCTGCATTCTCATTCGTTAATAGATTGTTACGTCATAAAATACCTTTAAAAATGGCTGTCTGATAATGAAAAGTGAAAACTTGCTTCCCAAACTTTTCCCCCTCCTCGTGCACAACACGGTTGTATTCTGTGTTTGTTTGAGTGTTTTAAAACTCATTCAAGTTAGTTTTCATTTTCAGTCTACTTCATAGTGATCCTGATGAGCTTTTCGGATGATTCTACGCTTCACAGGACCCGTCTGCATATAGGTTTCTCCTTACTCTTTCAGCAGATTCAAAAACTGCTTTTGTTTGCCATTCAGAACTTTTCTCCTCTGAAGTGACTCCTCTAGGTTATGTCTCATTTGTTTCCTCCTGATATAAATTTTTAAGATTCAGAATGCTCCTGTTTGTCTTAAGAATTATTCAGTTTCGTAAAGAATGTCTTACATGACATCCCTTAGTGATGATCAAGCTCCCGACCATTATGGAGGTGGCACAGCCGGAGGGATCGTCACCCCTGATATGCATGTATTGAATCAGCCTGATACATTCGGAATGCAGAACCCTATTGATATGAATGCTCCTCAGCCTCTCAGGAATGATAATGATATTTCTAGTTCAGATCCATTAATTCTGAATCAGGAGACTCATTTCCTTCCTGACTATGGAACTGATTTCGACTCTCTACCTGTCTATCATGATGATCTTCTACCACCTGGTGTTGGAGATCTTCCAGCCGAATACCCAAATGCACCGATTAGTGAGAACAATGGGTTTTACTGCAATGTAAACCATCCTATCAAAGCTGAGAATAAATTAGACGACGACATCAATGCTTTCTTGAATAAAACTTCCGAAAAACATGAAAACAAGCTAAAGCGAGACATAGACAACTTTGTGAAGATGAATTCAAAGGCTGCAGACCGACGCATGAGTGAAGATATCAAAGCATTTCTGAGAAGATGTAGAAGTCCTTCGCCCATTGAAAGTGCGAAAAGTTTGTTTCCGAAAAATAAAAGTTACTCAAAACCAAACCGGAGTTCAAGTCGAGCACCCTCGAAAGCCCGAGCTTCATCGCCATTTGACAGTAAACCAGCAGCTCGCCAATCTCGATCAATGGTCAGTAGAACTCGGTCTGTAGTTAGTCGTCGGCCCTCTACAGAGTCAAGGTTCGAAAAGAAAGGCCCTCGTGCGGTAAGGTCTAAAAGTCCACCTGATAAGAAACCGCCTGCATTGTTGTCAAGATCTAAAAGTCCAGAAGATAAGAAGCCTTTGCCTTTGGCATATCTTACTCCTGAAGAAAGGAAGCAGCTTCGTGGTTATTCTAGCAGTCCAGAGGGAAGAAAACCGTCACCCACTGATTACTCAAAGGTTGGATCAAAGAGCCCTTGTGATAGAAGAAGATCATCATTCTCTCCATCGAAAAGTCCAGTTGATACTACCACAAAACACAGAGAACCCTTCAATCCCAATATACCCAGACAAGATAGACTGAAACCGAAGATTTTGCTGAGGTAGGTTAATTTATATATTTCAACTGTAATACTTCTAATGTTAACATCAAACTCTGCGATAATGCACGTATTAATTGACACAGTAGGTACAGTGCATTTTGACAGGTATAACTGTATGGTATATTTCCTAAAAAAGCAAGTTCCAAGTTAGTTTTACAAGAAAATATTTTCCATTCAATTCTTATAACTCTTCTCTTCTCTTTTTTGATACCTTTGCAACTTTTTCCAAAGGAATGTCAACCACAAAATCTGGTGCAAGTTTTGGATTAAAATTGTTCGGAGAGGAGGAGAAGGTGTTATGAAAGGTGAAATTATACCTTCAGAATCCCTTGCCTTGAGCTGAGCTTGTGGTATTGTCTTTAAGGCATTGACTTCTAACATAGTAGCAGTGCAAAGCTCATATTAGCTGTTTTCGTTTGATATTCTATTTTTCATTTTTGAAAGTTATAGCTATGGGTGCAAAAAATATCTGATCCTCAAATTGCGGTGTACAAGAAGACAACCCTGGGTTGTTAGGCATGCTGCACCAGTGGTGACCTTTTGTTTGCCCAATTCTTAAAATCTGGTTTTCTTGACCGTTAAGGCAGAAGAATTCAGTCAAAGTACAAATTTGTATTGAGACCTCGCAAAATAGTGCGGCAGAATATTCGCCATCTCCTTCTTGAATTTACTTTCTCTGCCAAGCTGAAGGAAGATAATATTCTGCACCGCTCTGAAAGTTTATTAACTTATTTGGCATGTTCCTGACACACGTACAAGTGAAAAAATGGGGAAACTTTTTTAGTTTACTTTTATGAATAAAAAACCAGAAACTTACCCCAGGACTAATCGGAAATTTTTCACTGTTTTCCACAGAGACCGTGAAGCAGCAGAAAAGCGCAAAGACTATGAAAAGAAACTAGAGACCCTGGCAAAGTTGAAACCTGAAGAAATCATTGAATTAGAAAAGAAAATATGGACCAAATCAGAACTCTTACCTCTTTACTATTCGCGACAAAAATCGTAAGTATTTTACCATCTGCCCCTAATGATCTTCTTAAGTTTCCAGGCCCAAAGACTCATTCTTCCTGCCTTTTCTACATTCTGTGCAAGATCCTAATAATCTTGCATTATTCATTTTATTATTAAGCGTTCTTCTATGCGAAGAAAATAATAAAGCATGCAGTCTTTAGGGGACAGCAATGTGAAGGTAGCCTCAAAAAATAAGATGGCAAAGAACTTTTGGCACCCCTGGTGTCCTTTTAATTATCAGATTTCATCATATCAGAAAGGGTTGCCTAAAAAGAAGTTTTGTATGTCACCAAAATAGCAAGAAGGCATCTTCTTTTATCAGAAGATCCCTGCTCAATCATTTAAGCTAAAAATATTCTCTTCTCTCAGGAACAAAGCTGTCTGTGAAGCCACCCCAAAGCTTCTTGCCTTATGTGATAAATTTGAAGAAAAACTGATCAAAGCGCCGGAAAAAATAAGAGCATCGAAACCTCCGTACACCCCACCTTATGCTAGAAAAAAGTTGAGGAGACCCTGTTGTCATCATGGTAAACGTAAGTAATGACCATATTTTCTATTCCAAGTTTTCATTTCAATCCTCCTTCTTTTCTATTTCAGCTCACATTTTAAAAAAAATTGCCTCAATTTTTTTATCTTTTTTACTTTTGCAATCGTCCAATGAAGTCAGCTGCTTCAAGCTTAATTTTTGGCTTGCTCAAGTTTTTAATTTTTTCTGTTTGAAGAAAAAACCAAATGATCGATCAAAAGTCAGTCAAGGTGAAGATGATCTTATTTGAAACCATATCAAGTTGTCAGTTAACTATGATAACATTGATCAGAGAATTGCAAGATATTTTTCAAGACTTGAATGCATTTGTTAGGTTGAATGTCATTAGGTTAAAGGAAATTTTCAAGGGTCCTCCTGGAAAAAGTTAACACGATTGAATGGTAGAATGTTGCTGCCACTTGAATTCCAATTTACAGAAAGATATACCGGTGGCTAAATTTAGACAGAGGTGAAAAACACCCAGATTCATAGGGAGACATAACTCCAAACCTGAGAGAACCTTAGGGTTTTTGGGCCTTCTTTAAACAATTTTTTTTTTTTTTTTTCATTATAACACAATGTCTGGATTCTATGGGTGAAATAGGATAGAACTTAGGGAAAACTAAGACAAAAAATGCATTCTGCTGTAACTCTATCTACTAACTAACTCTCTTGAATTTCCTAAACAAGTATGTAGTTACTTTAGAGGCATTAAATCTGAACTACTACTAATATTACAACTACTCCAACTTCCAGGGTGTCTAGCATCAGGATTTTCCCGATTCTATCAGGATTTGAGGAAAAATAAGTTGTAGAATCAGGATTTGAGAAAAGTCAGCTGTCCGATCGGATTTTTTTATGCTTTCGCATACGCTTATGCAGAAATTTTAATTTTTCTCCGCAAAAAATCAGGATTTGGAAAAATTTTGAAATCAAGATTTAGCAGTCAAAAATCAGGAAAAATTAGGATTTCATCAGGATTTCCCTAGATGAAAAAAACTAGACACCCTGACTTCTCTTTCAAGGAATATAATTCATATTTTAAATCAAGAGAAACATGTCAATTAGGACTTGAATTCATACCTTGTCTAGAGGGCCATTTGGTGCCTCACAATGTTGCTCAATCACAATAATCAATCTTTCAGATGAAAGTATTCTTGACAAGGCTTATACTAATTCATTGAGCTTTCTTTCACAGACAACCCTAGTAGTTCGAGTGATACGAGTGATGAGGATGAAGAAGAAGAGGAGACAGCAGAGAATATCATGAAGAAGAAGCATGAGCACCCTCAAAGTCTCCACAAAGAACTCTGGTTTAACGATCCTGGCCAGGTACATAAGCTTCATTTTACAAATTCAGTCAAATCTAATCTTCCTTTATCTTATTCTTCCATACTTGTATTCTGGGAATATTCTTTTTTTTATGAAATTAATAATGATTTAACTGCGCTGAGTTTTGATAATAGTCAGTTAGCCTTCTGCCTACTTTTTATTATCTCCAGAGGAGGGGTATCGATAAGGGTCTTTTTTGCCCCCCCCCCTCCTTTGGAATTACGTCGTTAGGGGGTTTTTTTTGGCTACAACTAAAGAAAATCTCCTTGAAAGAGTCTAACAAGGCTTGATAACTGCCCTCAATAATATACATAGCATGCATGCAGTTGGAGGGACATGTTTCCCTGAGATTTTTGCGGGTGTCCCTTAAAAGTCGACTTTTGAAAATGTTTTTTTTTTACTATGAGCACCCAAAACAAGAGTCCTTTCATCACTTTTATGGTTGTATCAACTCTTTCTATGTATTATGAACTCAAAAAAACTTAAGACTAGAAGAATGGACTTGAGATTAGAATTTTGACAAGCTTTTTTTCCCTTTAAAACTGTGTAATGAAGTTTTTAGTTTTTCACAAAATTTTACATGAGGAAAACATTACCCCTAACCTTGTTAAAATTTCTTGCCACTGTTTTATCATGAGGCGAGAGATCTAATTTCTGCCCTATGTACCAGTGATACCATAAATTTTGTATAATTTATTTTCCAAGTACCACCTCTTTTGTAATTTATTCTTGCCAAAAAATTTTAAGCCTCATAATTTTATTCTCTGAATCTTTCATCAACTGGAATCCTTTTTTGTTCAAGATGAACGACGGAGTTCTGTGTCGTTGCAGTGCCAAAGCTGCAAGATCTGGAATTAGGCACGGAATTTATCAAGGTGAAACAAACATCCCACCTTGCGACCCCAACACAAATAATTTGGATCGACTGTACCATTATAGAATCACACTCTCACCTCCAACAAATTTCTTGGTAAGTTTTTTATCATCGAGCCAGTCCAGCTCAGTGGATGAATCGTTTTGTTGGCTTTTGCTGATGAAAATATATTATTTTGATGGAAAACTTCGCACTCAGATTTCCTCATAATTTATCCTAATCCAATTTGTGATGCACTGAATGGGCAATTAAACAAGATCAACTAGTTGAAACCATTAAATGTTTTCTCTTCAAAATCTTGCAAAGAAAGTGATTCACCCAATAGAAATTTCGGAAGTGAACTTCTAAATAAGATATTAACAAGTAATTTTAGCGCAAATCAAATGAAAGTTAGATCATACAAGTGATGTCATTTGTATTTTTGCCATTTAACCAACGTCCATTTTTAACGCTTATATCTTGTTCAGGATGTTGATTATTAGGCTTGTCTTTGTGAAATTTTGAAGAGGAATGTAAATTCATACCTTGGCTAGTGGCATGTAACATTGTCCCTCTGACATAAGGTTGCATCTTAATTTCCACACAAGTCTTGTTCTTAGTTTAAATCCATGCTTTCTGGGACTCATATGAAAATCGGGATACGCCCTTACATCAGAAGAGCAATGATAATTAGTCAAGTTGATCCCTTCTCTCTTTCAAGTTAGTACCATTTTTATTGTGTCAAGACGTAAAATGGAGGAAAATTTCTAAAGTTCAAAAGTTATGAAAAACCAACTGCATTCACACATTTTCTCTGTTATTCTTTAGCTTACTCTAATTTTCATATTTTTCAGACCAAAATGCCTACTGTCATTGAACATGATGACCATGAATACATATTTGAAGGGTTTTCTATGTTCACGCATGAGCCTTTGGGAGAACTACCAACATGCAAAGTTATACGCTTTAATATTAACTATGCCATACTTTATATTGAGGAAGATAAGCCTGAAAATTTCACCATTAGGGAATTAGACCTATTTCGTAAGTATACAGTTTTTCTCATTACCCTCATGCCTCTAATGCTCTCAGATATTCTCGAGACAGAGTACGCTTTAAAGAGTTAAGTTCATGTCAAATGTAATTGAATGCTCTTAGAATGCACTATATACGTACTGTTAAATATTATTAGGTAATATTATCAGATACATATTAGATAGATAACATTACAAGATAAAATAAAGTATTGTTTTATTTTTGATGCTGTCACATTAGTCTCAAGAAGTCACGATAATGAGAGACTGAAAAAAAGTGTTTAGGAGTCTACATAGAAGGAAAGAGTATGTTTTCTCCGCAACTTCAACTTTCTGGTTCCTCATCAGCGTTAATAAATTCAAAGCCCTCTAAAAATAATTTTGTGGTCCATTTTTCTACAATAGCACTCAGACTTACTCCCTCTCTCTCTGAAGAGATCATGGGTCTCAAAAATTTCTGATTAACAGCAAATCAAAAATATGTGGAAAAGTATGGACTTTATAAATGTGCGGAAGTTAATGGGAGTTAATCACTGTATCCTATATTAAATTTTCAACTAATCTACATTAGTCATGCATCTGATAGAAACCGTGTCTTTTTATTGCAGAAAAGTACATTTTTTATGAATTGTTGGAGCTTGTGGACTTTTCTTTGAAACCCTCCTATGCCAAGGGCGAGACATGTCCTTTGTTTCATTTCATGCCCAGATTTGTTCGTGAGCTTCCTGGTGAGTAAACTATTCCTAGTTATCTGTTTTTGTTCAAACTCTTAGTGTATGGGAAAACGGACATTTTAACTTTGATGCAATTCACTATTCTAAGAAAGCATTGTTGGTGTCACTTCTAATTGGGGCAGAACATCCTACAATGGACCACTAGATAAGTTACGAATTTAAGCTGCATAATATATATTTTTTCACCAAATTTTCAACTTATTGAAAGTAACGTCTAACCAAGATATTAAAGTATTTTTATGCATTAACTCAAAGTTTCTACTCATGATTTAGTAATCAATAACCCACTTGAGTTTAATTGCATATTTTGAAGTTACTTATTGCTTAGTTTAAAATATTGGTCAGGAGTTCATTTTAGTAATTTGTGTTGCTTAAATCAAGGTCTATGTGAAATTTTAAAGAGGAGGTACGTATCAGAATGCTTAAATTTATACCATGTCTAATGGTTCGTTACAAGTCAACTTTAATATATGTATGTGCGATAAATGCCTGCATTAGAGTATCACCTTCCTCTATAAGAGCTGAAGTTCATATATTCTTGCTCCCTTAACCTCACGAAGTTCTTTATAATTCTAGTCGCAGTACATTTTGTTCCCAATCTACAACCTTGAGCTGAATAATTTTTAGACGTATTATGTGCATAAGTAACGCAAATTCTTGCTTTTTCTAATGTGTGTAGGTTCCATTCAAATGATTATCTTGCATAGCATGTTATTTTTGTTAAACTTTTGCATCCAATCTCTGAGCTTTAATTTTCTTGTATTTTTCTTCCCTCTTTCTCCCATTTTCAGAAAATGGTAAAGAGATTTTAGGAATGGGCAATGTCATCAATTATCTTTTGAAAAGTTACCAGTTAATAGTGCCTGATGAGGAGGTAAGAAGGCTGAATAATCTGTCCACCATTGATTGGCAGGATGAAATATTGCGCTACAAAGGTAAATTTTCTATATACTTGTATCGGTGAAGTAAATTAATTAGAAAATAAAAAAAATTACTCTGAATATTTTTGGTGAAAGAAAAATAAAAAATATTGTGAACTTTTGCTGTCAGTCAAATGAATTACCCCTCTTCCTAGGTTTCCTTCAAACCAAAAAAAATAAAAACAAATTATTTGCTTCTACAAAATTGAATAAATATCTCAGGCTCCTAGCTGTGTGAAGTTATATCATGATTTTTTAATGAATTATTTGCCATTATAGCAGTAATACTAGAATATAGATCCTAGAAACCTACAAATTTTAATGGGAGATGCAAGTATGAAGGAGAGAAATATCAATGGTCAAGGAATAATACTGTTTAACTGTTAACTGACGATTTTACAGGATGAAGATAAAATCCTACCTTCATTGTAAATTTGAGGTTAAGTTTGTAATTTTTCCATACATAGCATTATTACAGTTCTCCCATGCGGAAGTGGAAGAAACAAAAAACATCACCTTGTGTATTTCATACCATAAAATTTTGGCAGAATTGCTAACTCATTTAGGCAGAAATTGTCAGTCGAGAGGTATTATTCTTTAGCCTTCAATATGATATTGTACACCTACAATACCTACATAAGTAAAAGCATATGGTTTTAATATGAAATACAAATTAATGATGTCGATTTCTAGAACGTCTTTTTAGCACCACATCTGCTATTCCTGAACAGTTTGTGTTAGAAACACTTTTGAAACTTGGTAGTAAAAGCTGCATAAGCTCTACTGTTTTGTTTCCTTTTAAAATTTGTATTCAATCGAGCAAAATCTCAGACCTAGACTATTTTAAAGAATTTTGAGATTCTACTAAAACTGTAATATTTCAATTATTAATTATTTAATTCAATTATTATTCAGGCATGATCATCACATACCCTGGTGCGAAACCATCATCTATTCGTGTTGACCAGCTCAACAGAGATGACCAGGAGGATATCCATCCTGAGGTCGTCCATTTTGGGATTCGGCCACCACAACTTAGCTACGCTGGAAATCCAGAGTATCAGAAAGCATGGAGAGCTTACGTTAAGTTCAGGCATTTGATTGCAAACATGCCAAAACCATCGTATGAGGACAAGAGGAAGTTAGAAAAAAAGGAGCAAAAGCTCTTGGAAATGCGAACGCAAAGTAAAATGAAGCGGGGAGTAACGATTACTGTCAGCAGTCAGAATTTTTACGCTACGGGTATAATGTGTGATGTTGTCCAGGTGTGTATCTTTTCATCTCAGTGCCAAGGCTTATTTCATTCTCATAAAGATCCTAATTTGCATTGCCCTTTCATTTTGGGTATATATTACCCTCAACATCAAGATACGTCTGAAAATTCTTGCCTATGTTTTTTCACAAGAAGGTGTTTGTGATGAAATAGTCAAGAGATAGTTTTGTTCTTTTTTAGACTCATCATAGGTCTACTGGTTGCCTTAAAAAAGGATGCATTTCACATTGCACAACTAATATGGACAAATTTGTCTTTCATGTGCTGATCATTTTTCCCAGTCGTGTAATCCCAATGAGACACATCTTTGCAGAAAATAGGTGACAGTGAACATGTTTATGCTTCGTAATGTCACAACTCAAAAACAAAAATTATTAAATGTTGATCTGGAATATAATGATTTTAGTGTATTTTCCAAGACAAGTCAGTTATTGAACCAGATTTTTTAATGGTATCGTTGAATGGTATTTTAGTAATTATTACATTTTCTTTAATTTTCAGCATGCCATGCTGCTGCCAGTTCTAGTGTGTCACCTTCGTTTTCACCGTTCATTACAAATTTTGGAAGACAACATTAACTATAAATTCAAGAATCGTTATCTCTTGCAACTTGCCATGACTCACCCTTCCTTTAGGTAACTTTACCACTAATTAACACTTGTAAATTTACTACTTTCACCAATTTATCTTGCTTTGACCTTATTTTTTGGAACGATTTTTGTAAAATTCTTTCAATATTTTCTCCCTTATCATCAGCGTTGTGTGACCCATCAGCTCAAATCTTAAATTCTTTACCTCAATATTTAATCAATGAATTCATTCGTTTAACTTCTGCCGCAGCTTTTTGTCATCCTTTTCCTGGTTGAAATTAGTGAGCTAAATTTTTCTTTGTCACTCATCAAATGCTTTTCTTTTACAGAGAAAACTTTGGCACCAACCCAGATCATGCTAGAAATTCACTGACAAACTGTGGTATTCGACAGCCAGAATATGGAGATCGGCGGATACATTATATGAATACTAGGAAAAGAGGTACGTTATCTGTAGGACATCCTTTGATTCTACAGAGAAAAAATGAAGTAAAGGCAATTTCTCATTTTTTCTCACTGGGATGTACATGTGTACAATATTGCATCAACATTCCCGCAAAATCCTGAATTCAAAGCATAGAAAATGGATCGTAACATCCGTAGTTCATATCGTAAGGCAACTCAAAGTATTATTTCAGACAATTATTGAGGAAAGACATTCTTTCATAAACCACACAATTTTGGAAAAAATCGATGATGAAAAAGTCTGTACCTGTTATCATTATTGGCTTCTTTCGAAGATTTCAGAAGTATCACCACTTTGTTTTCTTCTCATTGTCCTTTGATCACGTACTTGGTGTTGCCAAAAGGGATACTCCTTCCAACGCTGTTGATGTACTCTTCAGATTTTGACTTTTCCATGAGGGATTTAATTTTTAGCTTATTATTACATAGAGGAGTGAATCATGGACGTTTGAAAAGGAAAAAAGCTCTGTCTGTTCTACTGTTTTACTGGGCTGACTATCATTATTTTTACGGTTATTGACAGCTGATAGTCCTTAGATGAGCCCACTTTATTTAGATCAACTCACAGAGGCCTCAAAGAGGGTAAAGTGCCCTTCAAGGATTGGGCTGCCAGCGGGCGTAGTCTCCCAGTATTGTAATTATAAATCTTCCAATGATTGATTCAATCATCACTTAATTAAGTACAGGTGAAACAAATTTTTACAGTGTAACTCTGGGAAAGATACTTGTGGAAAGTCCTATTTTCTCTATTAAAATTGAATTTTGTCTTACATCAGTATCTGCCTCTGCATTCTTGATTCCTAAATGCATCTATTTCCCATCACAGGTATCAACACTTTGATCAATATTATGTCACGGTTCGGGAAGAAAAATGAAACCGAATCAAACATTTCACACAATGAAAGGCTGGAGTTTCTTGGTGACGCAGTGGTTGAATTTATTACCAGCATTCATCTGTATCACATGTTTCCGGATCTTGAAGAGGGTGGCTTAGCAACGTACAGAGCGGCTCTAGTTCAGAATCAGCATCTTGCTGTTCTGGCCAAGGTAAGACCATCCTCCAAAAATTTCCACTTGCTTAAGTTGTACCATTCTTGACCCATCCATATTTTTGATCTTTCAAACTTACCATTGGTTCCCCAACTCTGAATTAATCTTTAAATTTATCATAGACTATTAATGTTAGTAACTAATACTAATACTTTAGCTATTACTAATACTTAGTGACTAATACTTGCTTCTAAAATTCTGTTCATCAATTCGATGTCTCCCTTACAAAGAAATGTACCTTGATCGCAGTGTTTTGGTATTTCTTACTTACATTTTATTTTTTTTAAAGAAGAGCTGTTGTATGAACTTGCTTGAAATTTTCATGATCTCTTTTAGTACTTGTGAGAAAAGGCACTAAAATTTGTAAAAAAATTCCTGCTATGGTTCTCCCATGAAAAAATAGAATGCCTGCAATGATACTGAAACTGCACGAACGAGGTCTGCTCCTTCATGCGAGAGATGATGAATTGTCATATGATCTGTTTAACATGAGTCTGAATGGATTGTCTTCATGTGTACTCTTGTAACTTCTTCAGAGGGCCTAAACAGAAGTAAAATCTGGATTTTTGAACCCAGGGGAATTTTTCTAAGTGATGTTATAGCTAGGAATAGACATCAACCACCCACAGTCAATTTCACAAAACTCATGTTTCTTTCATTGTACAAAGCTAGAGTGGCGTGAAAAGTATTGAAGCATGAAAGTCTGGTCCTCCTCAATAAGCAGGACAAGAAGAAAAGATAGACAGTTTCTCTTGGTTTTGATTTGGGCTGCAAACGTATCTTTCAGCCTGTGTATTGCAAATGTAGAAAAAATCTGGGAATTTGAGGGGGAAAGAAAATTTGAGGAATACCTTACTCAACTCATTGAAACTGAAGTTTTAAAATCTGTCAGGTAACGTATTTGAAGCTATGAGGAAGGGAAATCGAATCTCAAGAATTAGTGTGTAAAAACATTTTGCTTCTTTGGTTTTCAATAACTGTATTTAACCTAACGATAATTAATTGTCAGCTCATTGCTTCTGCAATTTTCTTTTATCCAAAGTTAAACTCGTTTTCTGCCCTCCCAAGTGATCCCTTGTTTGGTTACCAATTTACATGAATTTGTTACAGGTGTTAAACTTACAAGACTTCATGTTGTATGCTCATGGCTCGGATCTTTGTCATGAATTGGAGCTTCGTCATGCTATGGCAAATTGTTTTGAAGCTCTGATGGGGGCGTTGTTCTTGGATGGTGGAATTGAAGTAAGTCATAATTTTACTGTATCATAGTGGAACCTTGATAATTCGAAACCTCGGATTTGTCAGCTTTTTTCTCTAGTCCTGTCAATTTTCCCATTCAAACAATGTCCATAATAGGTTTTGGAAGGAGCTGGAATCTCGGTTCTCTTGTAAGTTGGAAATTTGCTTACATCCGACATATTTTCTGGTCCTGTTATCTAGTAATTTATGACACTTAAAGGGACAAAAATGCGGAGTTGCAGATAACGAATCTTCAACACTAGGGCATGCCCAGCAGGCAGTCAGAAAAAGAATATAAAGTAGTGAGTCATGTATGAGCAAACACAGGCCACCTGACTTGGAGCTGCAGCCTTCCTCTATCTAATGATAATCTCTGTCGCCGGCCGGGTAATTTCAGACTACTCTTACTTGGAAATACATGTAATTGCGCAACGCTCACTCACCTAAATCTCAACTTTGCAACTTCAGCTGCCACTGAATTTTGGACCATTTTACTGGATGAAATAGGAGTATAGTTAAAGTTTTATGATTATCTTCCTCTTTGCAATATGCTCAAGCAAGTACATTGGAGCGTCGGGAGGAATTTTACCCAGTTACAAGTAGAAGATGCTTTGGCCTCTCCTTTCGCTCCACGGATGAATTTTATTTTTATTTTTCAATAAAATTACTTCCAGATTGTTAACCCTGATAGTGATTTTTTTTGGTGCCACTTTGTCTTGAGAATACCTCATACTCGCTGATGAGACTGTCACTTACAGGAATGACTAGCAAAATCTAAACGGCTTCATCTCCAATTCTTTTTGGGATTCCTTAATGAGTTGCAAAAATGTATTTAGAAAGTGAGATGGGAGAAAAGGCAAGAAAAGTAATAAATAATGTGCATTTGAGCACCTTTCTGCAAATTATTTGAGTTGAACATAAGCTGTACCCTCATTTTACAAGCTCAAAATTGGGGTGGTATGAGTTGTCTTTATTTGATGACCTCATCCTTAACATTTATTTATCAAGCCGTTTTCTGCTATATTTATTGAGGGAAGAAATGTTTAATCACCAGGAAATATTATAACCTTCTCTTCAATTTTTCACTCAGCAATGTTTAACTTGATGGAATCACATCCTTGTCTGCTTAACGAAGTAATTGATAAATTATTAGCCTCTATTGTTGTTTATGTGAAGTTTAAAAAAAGCTGATAGTATGCATGCTGATACAGAAAATCTATGCTGTATTTTATGTATCTTATGGCGCTCTATGTTTGTGCAGATTCCTGACAAAGTATTCGGTCATACTTTTTTCAAATCTGATCCTCAACTATTGGATGTGTGGGTCAATTATCCGAAACATCCTCTCCAAGAACAAGAACCAGACACTGATAGACATTGGATCGCTTCTTTTCCATTGCTCCAGGTGGGTGTTAAAATTGAAATTATTTTTCGCTAAACAAATGGAAACTTGCCTAGTGACGAACTCAAAAATTGTCAACGTATATGAGCCCATTTGATTTCAGAAATATTTTTCGTCAATCTTCAATGTCATGGCAGAGATTACTTCAAAAAGTTAATTTACGTACTGCTCGGATCGTTGGAAATTATTTCACTAGTCACTTATCCCTCTGACTTCCAACTTTCATACCAAGAAATGTATTAGTGATGTAGGATCAATATAGCCATAGTCCATAACTGTATTGTGCTTCATTCTTCACAGAAACTGGTGCAGTTCGAAGAGTCCATTGGTGTAGAGTTCACACATATCCGTTTACTGGCTAGAGCTTTCACCGATCGAAGCGTTGGTTACACCAACTTAACTCTGTAAGTTGCATTTTTCCTGGTCTTCCGCTTAATTCTATCTTGTAAACTCTTTTTTTGCTCCTAAAAGAGTGTCTAAATTCTATTTTTTCATGTCGTTCCTATTCAAACATATTTAAGCAAGTGGTAATACACATTTAGTTCTCTCAACTTATTCCTAATACCTAATTAACATTGTTGCTCAGGCAAAAAGCCTAATAGTCATCCCTAACATGCAGTTCAACATGTAGTGAATTCATTTCTTCTATGTCGCTTTTCTTTCGTCAAGTTTCTACATTCTAAAATCAGCTGTGTTTAATTTGGCTCAAGTCACAGTAAAGTAAAATTAACATTAATTTTTCTCATATATTGGTTTTTCTAATTTTATAAACTTTTTAACTCAACAGAGGATCCAATCAGAGGATGGAATTTTTGGGTGATACCGTTTTGCAGCTTATTGCCTCAGACTACCTGTACAGATACTTCCCAGAGCATCATGAAGGTCATCTTTCTGTAAGTGTCACTATGGTTAAACATCAGAGCTCTGAGCCGTCAATTTCGTTTCAAGAATTTTTAGAGAAAGGAGGCATCATAACTTTTTTAAATTATTCTTCATGATTGGTGAAAAGGTATTGTGGATAGGAGACTCATTTTTAAAAGGTCAACTTCTCATCGTGACCATCTCTCTAAAGGAAACCTAAGCGTTGAATCCTAATTGGACGGAGTTAAACAGAAAGGAACCAAGCCACATTGGCATCGAACTGAGAAAGAGAGGTTTAAAGTTCGGCTCCTGCATAAGACTCATTGTAAAAGATAAACTTCAAATTCAATTTCTGCAAAATTTGCTCCAGCAAAAGCTTAGAATTTTTGGCAATAGATAGTAGAGTAGTGGTTGAGTTCAAAATCACTCATAACTCAATTTTTTCCAAAATGTGGGTTGGTTCCTTTCTGCGTAACTCAGCCCAATTGTTCTATCTCTTGAAGATCATCTTAGTTCCAAATTTCATTATTTTACGTTGATAAATTTTGTCCCATTATAATCACAGAAAGAAAGGATAAGAATCCTTAGGAGTAAGTATGTTGCCCAAGTATAAAAAATCGCCATGATTAATTTTTTGGAATAACCATTTAAAGCATATGCAAAGCAGCAGATATATTTCGCTGAATATGATTTGATTAATCCATGTCAAGGTGCCAATGACCAGTTGTGTGTCATCGCATTTTTAAGCATTTGATCTTGGAGTTTCGAAAAACCTGCGGAAAAAAGAGAATTTCTTTTGAAAATTGCATTACTTCAAAACCAAGGTCAATGACATGCTTAGCCCAAAGTTCTCATTCGGTCACTGTTAAAATCTTGGTGTTAGTTCCTTGTTGACAGCATAATGCAGTAATGTTGGGCTTGTAAGCTGCACATGGCATGCAATACGTTAATGTAGTCAGTTGTCTATATTCATTTACAAATTGCAAGGCTTTTAGTATCGTATTTGGATAGCTTAGCAAAACGGTCACATCCAAATTTCGGTGTTTCAAAATCTCATTTCCTATTTTGATATTTTGGAAAGAAGTCAACCAACACAACATTGTCGTATACAATTTTGTAGAAAAATCTCTCACACAGACAAGAAAAAATGCAATAATTTTCAAGTTCGGATGTCGGTTGTTTTCCTGGCAAAAAATTGAAATAGGATATAAGATTTTGGCCAATGTGATGTTGATGCGACTGCATAGCTCAACTCTATCCACGAATTTCAACTGCTCTTTTCTGTTTAAAGCTTTCATTATGTTTCGCGGATAAAACACACATGCGAAGGAACTATCCATATAAATGTAGATGAAACTTTAAGGTTGAGAAGAAGATAGACATTTCTTTACCCGTACCTTTAAATAATAGTTAAGGCGTGAAAACATAAAAATGTATGTTTATTTTACTTTTCATTTTTCTAGTTGCTGCGGAGCTCTCTAGTCAATAATCGCACCCAGTCAGTGGTCTGTGATGACTTGAACATTCCTGCCTATGCACTCTATTCAAATCCAAAAGCTGAATTGAAAACCAAGGACAGAGCCGATCTTTTAGAATCATTCTTAGGAGCTTTGTATATTGATAAGGTATGAATCTTTAAAATCAACAAGTCTTCCCACTCAATGAGCCCATCCAAGTAATGTGCAAAGTCCTTTTTGTGATTTTACTTTTTCTCCTTTCATCCTCTAGTGCATCTGTAAAGTAACCTCTCTCTTTTTAAAGTGTTACAGAAAGCTGACCCCCCTATTGTCCAGTTTTCCTCCAAAATTACTTGAAATTTTTGTTTGCTATTCAAACGAAAGCATTTATCACGTATTGAAATTAAGAATGGATCACTAGACAAGGTGAAAATTTAAGCTGTGTAATGTATGTGCTCTAATCAAAATTTCACGTAGAATTCAATCTGTGCAACAAAAATTATTGGAAGTAACTCCTCTAACCTACTTTTCATGAATTTTAACTTCAAATTATTTTGAATTTGTTTTTCTATCCTCTTCTTCCTCTACTAAAGACGAGGGCTCGTCTCTGTTTTTCAATCTTTTGAGTACCAAACACATATTAATGACTAAGAAGCATAATAGAAGAAAAAGTAAAGATTGATCAAATTAAATTTTTACAGATTCATGAAATGAACGATTTTACTTATTTTCCCCTTTTGGCTATTCTAACCATCAAGTCATAGAATTCACTCTCTGGTTCTCCTATGTCTCAATCATTCTGTGTTACTTTTCCAATTTTTTATCCAAACTCTATTTCCTTTCTGAGCAGGGAATAGCTTACTGCAGGGTCTTCTGCGATGTCTGCTTCTTCCCTCGTCTGCAGGACTTTATCATGCATCAAGACTGGAATGATCCCAAATCAAAGTTGCAACAATGCTGTCTAACATTGCGCACTCTTGATGGTGGTGAACCGGACATACCAATCTACAAGTAAGAATTTCTCACACCTATTAATATTCTTCAGCATGGTGTTTGTGACACGAAAAACAAATTGAAATAAGCAGCTAATCAGAGAACCAAAAATCTTTGGGAAAATCAGGAAACAAGGGTGGAAACCTAAGAATTGTTGTGTAGATTCAATGAGAATTTTTGACTGGTTTTGTATTTAAAGGGAGAAATCATATGTATTGTGACCATGCACAGGATAAGAGACCTTTATTCATTCAGTCGGTTTTTTCAAGGGAGCGATTTCTGCTCTCTTATGTCAAGAGTTGGATTTTTAAATTTTGTCGGTAAACATTCTCTGATGTTTCACAGGAAAATTTGCGAGCATTGTAGTAAAAGTTAAGAAGTTGCATTATAATTCAACAATTTCAACCCATTGCCGTGACATTTTACATAGCACTGCCCAGCCCCTAATCCGGGGAAGAACAGTCCTTAAATTTCTAGATCATTTATAACCCATTATCTCCTATTTAATCCAATTGAACTGATCACTTTTAAGAAAACTTAAGTACCAGGAAATATGATTAAAACAGTACAGACTGTCTTACTTGACCTGTTTTAAATCTCAGAATAAAAAATAATGAATGTGGTTAATTAATAATTCTCTTTCATCTCTTAGAGCTTTGAAATTCAGAGTGGGTGGATTGAATCGGTTTCTACCATTTTTCTTGTTTTTTCTGGTGTTATAGTTCTTCTTGAGAATGTCCGATTCAATTTTGCAGCATTATTTACACTTTTCTTTTGGCTTGCTGACTTTGTTGAGGAAGCTTTCTAACCAAAAATTCACTTTTTTCTCCCTCTTTATGGTATCCTGAATATACCCTAGTCCTGAAAAAAAGGAACAATTGGGGTACAAAACGATTTACAGCCTTCAAAAAATAGCAGAAAACTAAGAGTCTGACAAGAAATCAATCATTATGAGAACGAATTTACTGTAATCTCAGAGCAATGACTTGAAAATAAATAGACAAGCATGATAGACAATTTTCAAAATTTCTTTTTTAGGGTGATTGAGTGCAAGGGTCCCACAAACTCGCGAATCTACACTGTCGCAGTCTATTTTCGAAGGCAAAGATTGGCAGAGGCGTCTGGTCATAGTATTCAACAAGCGGAGATGAATGCTGCTAACAGTGCCTTGGAACTTTCTAAAGGTAATTTTCCACCCCTTTTTTAACTATAGCAAAACAAGGTTGAAAGGAAATCTTGAGATTACTCTTACCTTTACAGGGTGACTTTAAATATTTGTTTTTAATACGCGCCAATGGATCAATTAAGTCCTTTTTTCTTCCTTTTTTTTTTGAGTCGAGAAATTGAACTAAAATTTTAGAATTTAATTTTCCGTTTGTCCACAGTTTTAAAATTTTTGTAGATAAATGCATGCTGTGGATCCTCGACGCTGTGGACAAATTTATCCTCAACTTTGTTCGTGAATCCATGATATGTCATGGATCCACAAACTCTGGAAAATTGGAATGTAGCCCAAACTTTTTTCCATTTGAAGTTACAGAAATGTTACTTACCTTCTTCACCCACTGGAGACTTTGATTTAATGAGACCTTCGTTACAGGAGCTTTTGTATGATGTAATTCTCTCATTGTTTCTTTTTTTTTATCAGGTCTATTCCCGCAGTTGGACCATCAAAAGCGCGTTATAGCTAAAAGTATGATCTACAATGGGCGAGCGCCGAATCAGAAGTTCAACCAGCAGCAGAGTACAAGGTTCGGACAACGAGCTGGCATACGAGGAAGACTCAGCAACAGAGGCAGGGGCGGTTTTGCGAACAATCAACCACGAATAAAACGAGTCAACAAACAGCTTGGCGCAAAAGCTGCGCTTGAAAATAAAGACCCAGCAGGACGTGGAGCCATGCGAGGTGGGAAGACCTTTGTTGGAAGATCTGATGCAAGAGGAAGAAGACCACTCAGGAGACTCCAAGACAGGGATGATTCTCGCCAATCCACCGTGAAAGAAGAGGAGGATGAGTTTGATTCTACGATAAAATCTCATATTATGAAGGAAAAATTGAACAGGCAGATCTTAAAAGAATGGGAAGAAGAATTGGCAGCAGAGACTGAGAAGAAGGACAAAGAAAAGAAAGAGAAGGAAAAACAGATTCTTCTAAAGAGGAGACAGATTGCAAAAGAGTGGGAAGAAGAGTTAGCTGAAACAGAACGAAAAGAAAAAATTCGCAAAAAAATATCGAAAATTAAGAATCTCGGCTCCAAAGCTGTGCAGAAGGAAGCCACAAAAGCTGAAAGACTGAAAAAGAAAGAAGAAATCCTGAAACTGAAGAAAAAATTGAAGCTTCGATTAAAAGAGAAAAAGCGCTTAAAAGCAAAACAGAAGGCACAGCAAAAGTTAAGGAAGATTCTGTTGTCTGCTGAGAAGCTGAAAAGAAGACTTCAAATGAGAGAAAAAATCATGGAGTGGCAAGCTTACGAAAGCGAAGTGAAGCGGAAGCTTGCAGAGGAAAATGAAAAAAAACAGAGAGGAAAGGCGGAAGTTGAACGAATGCGAATGCTTCTCAAAGGATGTGCGCCCTCATCTGCGCCTGATCAACTTAAAACTGAGGAGGGAGAAGCCACTGAGAAATTTACAGAAAGAAAAAGTACTGACAGTTCTTTAAAAGCTGAGCCTATAACAAAAGAAGCCTTGTTAGAGGCAAAGTTAGAAGTAAAATCTGAAGTGAAACTTGAAAATCCTAACTTACCCCGTATGCAGAGTAAATCAAATCGATTAGAATCTAGAATCCTCGAAGAATCCAAAAAATCAAGGAGTTCAGGGCCCATGGAGACTAATAAGAAATCAGAGGTTTCCAATAGAGACCAATTTCGGGTAAAGCCTGAGAGGTCCTCAGAACCAGATCGTAAAGAAAACAAAGAGGATGACTTCTTAAAATCTGTTTTGCCCACCATTGAAGAAATTTCAAATCTAAAGAAGATGTTAGAAGAGTTCGATACAGATAAAATGACGAAAAAAGATATCGAAAAACTTAAAAAGAAACTGAAAAAACAAAAATTAGGCAGAGATGTTGAAAAAGCAGAAAACGATAAAAAGTCTGTCCCTTCAAAATCACGGAGGCGTAGAACTGTTTCGTCAGAAGGATCCTCCATAGAGCGATCACCATCTCCTCGCCATAGGAGGTTAGAGGCAGAAATAGAGTCGTCTAAAAAACGCAGGTCAAAAAAGAGGGAAAAGTCTGTATCCAAGAAGCAGGAAAAATCTGTCTCTAAGAAGCGGGAAAAATCTGTATCCAAGGTGCGAGAAAAATCTATATCCAAGGTGCGAGAAAAATCTGTATCCAAGATTCGAGAGAAACCTAGGAGATCAGTCTCACCTCTGCGCAAAATGAAACTTAGGTCACCATCTCCAGTCAGACGAAAACGCAAATCAAGTCACTCTGAGAAGTCTAGTTCCAGTAAATCTAAGTCTAAAATTCATGATGATGTGGGAATACGACATCGTAAAATGCGTAGCAGATCTCGGTCGCGGGAGAAAGGTCGGAAAAGTGTGTCACTTTCCCCTGTACGATCTCAGAAGCGCGTTCGCAGAAGTAGATCCTTATCTCTGTCCCTCTCCCCTCCAGGCAAACGATATCGAACAAAATCGAGGTCAAGATCTCCTAAGTTTTTCAGTCATCATAGATCAAGATCGAGATCTCGCTCCCCAGGTGACAAGTATAGGAAATCCAAGAGTTCTCGGTCAGACAGAGATGAGTATCTGAAGCAGATGCTGAACATGAGTCAAAGTAGTACAGTTTGTCCAGGTTGTATTGCAGGTACCTGCGCAATGAGCTCTAGTCATTTAGTACCTGGTCCAGTGGCACCACCCATGCATCCCCCTCCTATGGCATATGGCCCGCCTGGACCACCAATGATCTGCCCAGGACCACCGCGCCCCGGACCACCATGTCATGGACCGCACCCTGGACCACCACGCCCCGGACCACCAATGTATGGCCGTTTCCCTCCCCCTGGTCCCATGCGAGGTCCTCCCTTAATTAGAGGGCCACACCCCAGATTTCCTCCCCGAGGTCCATTGCCGCCTGGAGTTGCTCCCTTCCAAAGACCTCCAAGAGGTCCACCACGACCTGGATTTAGACCTGGATTCCGACCCAGAGGCCCCCCTCCTCCTGGAGCATATTACCCTCCTCCAGCCCCAGGTCAGTTTCCAGCCCAACCAGATCCAAATTACTCCGGTCCTCCGAACTATTGGGCTTAAGCTCATCAGGTCACTAAACATTCCTTGTCATGTTGCAAATGTTATCACCAATTCCAAAGGTGATGATGTGTTATCACTCTTCTCAAGTGTGACTACTGTTTAAAGTGTGTGCACCTGACAGTAAATGTAAATACACCCCCTGAGGTCACTCCAACCGAAGTTAGATTTTGCAGTTTACAATCCATTTGAGTGAAAATAAAGTCCTTAGGTTTTTTCATCAAATTCATCTTCCTTGTGATCAAGAGATTTTAAAAAATGAAGGGCCTTATTTTTCCTTGGGTTATCTCAACCCTCACTCACTGTCAAAATAGGTGTTTTGTTGTTTCTCATCTCAGGAAGAACATACTGTCGAGATCCCACTAGAAAGAGGCTATCACGGAGGTATATTGTCACTTCAATGCAAAATTATGTCCAGCAAGTACCAGACACTGTTGAATCACAAAGATTCTAATAATATTTTGTTTGACATCTTATCGTCAGTTGTACCAGCTGGTCGTCTTTACTCAGAAAAAATGGGAAGCTGTAGTCTTCAATATGATAATTGGCGGCTGAGGAGTAGAGTTTTTGGCATGCGGTATTGTTGATGGGTTGAAACTCAGACAATTTGGCACATTCAAAGAAGCCGGGCTCGCTAAAGCCGATCAAACCTTAGACAATAGATCCAACCGCTCATCTGACTTCACCCCTTAGTGGTCACTTTTTGTGTTGTGTACTGTAATAAAAAACTACCAGAAAGGTCCCTCTCCCTCTCCCCCCTTATTCCTTGGCCTTCTGGTGAAAATTGAGCGAGATAATTAATAATGTAAGTAATATCCCTGCATTATGCTTTAAGCATTCTCACCTCTTACTTTCCGTGTATTCTACGCAAATATGTACCTTTCATGACTGATAATACCTACTTAGGTACCTATAAAAAGTAATTTCTGTTTTCTTATTACTGCAAAAAAGTCTGTGAAGCTCTTAGTTTTAAATGTCTTTTATTTTTCAAATGTTTTTGTCAGTTGATTTTAAAGTCATCATTTCCTTTTACCTCTCTTTGATTTTTTCATGAATTCCTAATATGAAGTAGGGGGAAAAATATGTTTTCCTCAGTTTTTCAGGCTTCTCGAGCTAAATTATGAGTATTTATTTCAGAGAACAGATTGCTGAATCTCGAAACAGTAAAGATTTCAAAACATTCTCTTCTTCATATTTTTTTTTTTGCAAGTTTCGTTTGTCTGGAAAAAAGTTGATGTACATTTTTTTTTTAAAATCAAGAGCTACGTTATCATCCTGTTAGTGAAAGATGAAAAAACTTCACCCCTGAAAAGGTCACTTTAGTTAAAAATTGTGAAGGTAATAAGTTGGTTGCTAACCGATTAAACTTTTCTTTCACTGAAGGTTTTTTGTGTAAGATTTGAAGAGCCGGTGAATTCCGGTTTTTAGTTCCTATTTTATATCATTAAGATCAAAATTCGAGTGTCCAGCGTTTATGTTCCTTGCCAACTTGTTACAAAATTGACATCTATCTTTAAAGTTTTTCCCATTATTCCGCAGGGAAGTCATTTTTAATGCTGCTCATCCAATGTTACGAAAGAAAGCAATTTCTCCTAGAAATGAGTGCGGGTCATTTGTTGACAACTTAATGGACCACTCCTTCCCCATAATTGCATTGTTTGTAACCAGCTCCATCCTCGTGAGGTACACCTAGACAATTTTTTTTATATCCATGTCAAAACATGTTAGAGATGACCAGATATTGGTACTCACATTTGCTGTATGAAAGGCTCAAATTGTTTGTCAATGAATGTTTGATGTGAGCACATTCATAATTGCACGTTAATACTGAGTATTACCTACTTTTTTCTGCTGAATTGATCCGTGAAAAAAATGTTGTAGATACCTAAAATTTGTTACGAAGATTCTTTTCCATTTGAAAATAAAAAGTTTGTAAATATTCCCAGCTGAATTCTCACTTGCACGTTTCTTTATATGAAACATCTTTTTGTTTTCGTTAAAATACTGGCTTTGCTCTAAGTACACAAGAGATGACATTACATGTAGAAGTTCATTTTAGATGTTAATTCTAAAAGAGATCGTTTTCAAAACCCGAAATCTAATTCAAAAGTTTCATAAGGCAAATCCTCAGTCAGTAGGTTGAACAAGACCGAGCATTAACAATCAGGAGACGTATGGTTTCATTCCAGGATCCAGAATATGCATGATGTCTCTGGATGTAATGGATCCATATTTTGTCCGAAAAATTTGAAGCAAAACTGGAATAGATGAAAATAATTTTGATAATCATTTATGCTAAATGATTATGATTTTATTATTCATTTTAGTTTTTTAGAAGTAAATGCAGTATGTATAATTCAAAAGTCAAATTACATATGTGGTATCTGTCGACAATTTCCTGAATTGACGTGTCAACGTTGATTGTGGAAAAAGAAACATCGTTGAAAAAAGGACTGACAAGCATGAATATATATTTTTGCTAATATTGTAATATAAATGGAGGTATGTGTAAAATTAAAAAAGTATCAAAAGTGAATTCAGTCACAGGTACATGTTTTGATTGCAGATTACTAGGCTTTTCCTTGCTGAAAATATAGAACATGTTATGTACATGAATGCAGAGTAAAAATTCATATAAATTGTAAATACTGATGTTTGTAACAATAAAAAAGGCATCACAGACAACACAAAATTTTTTAAAACGGATTCAAGGATTGAGGCACTGGGTGCAGACAAGACACTTCTCAGTTACGATATTTCAGAGTTTCCATCGCGATGTAATTTATTAGAGAGGAAACGATAAAGTGAATTTTTTTAATTTTTTTATCCAGAGCATTGTGAAGTTCTGAAGAATATTCCGTAGAAGTTTCAACAAACTACAAACATTTGTTTAAAAAAAAAAGACTCACTTGCACATTAAATTAAAAGAATTAAAATTATTCAAATTTGAGTGAAATTAATTGCAATTGGGTCTTTTTTTTAAAAAAAAAATTTGATCATTTTCTTGTGCAGCCTCCAAGGCAAAAAAGTTTTTTGAATTTTCGATTTTTTGTTTTATTTTCGTACATGCATTTGCTTTGTTTAAAATGGATGAAATATTAGCAGAGCTAAGACACTGCAACTGAGGAGTGTCTTTCCTGCTCCCTAGCGCTTCAATTTTGCTCAGAGGGAGTTCTGGTAAATCATTTTAAATTGGGAGTTGATGCACCCAAGTAACAGTGTAAATCTGTGATGGTAGATTTGACTAGTTTTGCTTTGACTGTTGGTCGATTTATTCTTTGGTATGCAGCATAGCGATGACATCCTCCAAAAGAGTAATAGTAGTCTCCACCTTCAGAGCCCTTTATCCAAAGCACATCAATTGGCGGAACTGAATCGTATTGAGTCGGATCCTATTGACCAAGAAAATTCATTAGGTACAAAATAAAATTCAACTCAATTGAGTTGGTAATGGGAATGGCTTTGTACTACCTGAGTAGCAAAATAAAAATATTTTATGAAAAAAAATTAATGAAAAAAAATTTAGGAAATTAAGAAAAAGTGGCTAGCATTGTGGAAAACAGAAAATTTAAAGTGAGTGTCACTATTTACCAAAGAAAATAGGTATATTTCCTGTCTACAAAATGGATCTATTTTCTGTCTAGAAAATTGATAAGGCTTTTTCCTTAAGAAAAAATATCCAAAAACCTGATGAAAAAAAGAAGAGAAAAATGGAGAAAAATTGGATATTTTCTTTCTCTATTTCTTGGAAATTTAAAATTCAGAAAACAGATAGAAAAAACACAGAATGTAGACAACAAAATTGTCTGTTTTCCTTGTATTTAGTGTCCGGAACATAGATAAAGAATAGAAGTTTTTTAATAATTTGTCTCATTTCTTTTTATTTTGAGGCACAAAACTCAAGACCCTCAAGTCAAAAAAATCAAATTCGAGCTATCGTTAACACATCTCAAAGGGATGATTTTATAAGTTCACCATCAAACTAAGTCGGTAGGCACTTGATAAATTCATTGAGCTTTTACCTGAAGAGCTTGCATGAGGCTCGTGACTTTTTCTTCATTCAATTCGGACACAAATGGCCTTGTAATGACGGACATTGGTATTTCATGGATCTCATCAATTTGATCTGAATGAATGCTAACTACATCTCCTGTCTCATTTGCTGGGTGTCTTTGATCTCCAGTTGGTGCAATGTTATTGCTATTCGACTGATGCGTCATTATATTATTTGAGAGGCTCATCTGTGGTGAGCGTGGTTTTCTGCAACGTTCAATAGTTTCTCTTGACATTCCTGAAAAGAAAGAACAATTGTTATTAGTGTAAGCATTTCATTGTAATATAGGGGTTACTGAAATTAAGAAAAAAAATTGACTGTAATCTGGAAGGTACCCAAATATACAAAATTATTACCTAATAAAAAATTAGAGGGAAAATAAATATTTTTGCAATTTGCCTTGTCAGGTGGTTAGGCTCTCAAGTAGATTATAATCAAAACACTTTACCGCAAATAGAAAAGCAAGAACACAGCTCTCTATCCTGCTGCCTTAAAACTTTTTTAAGTGGCCGGTAGTACTGCTTGTTGCATCATTTACATAGATTTTCTCAGCATTCAAATCTTAAACAACTGGAAACTGATAGAAATGGTGAGGTTTTTCAGAATTTTAAGTCCTTCCAATCTCTAAATTCAGGTACCGATTTTAATTCAAAATGAACAATTTGTACAAGAGGAACCCCTGAAGCACTTGCTATCAGTCTGCTGATTTACGGTTTTTGAGAAATCTTACTAATGTTAGTACTTAATGTTCTTGAAATTATATTATGAAGTAAATTCCAATCAAACCTGTAGTTACAAGCCTGTACACCTGGGGGCTCAGCTTTAGAATTGTGGTCATCTAATAAGCGTAATACTGTATGATACAAGAGACTAAAGCAGATGACTTAATCACTTGATAGAACTTTTTGACGAACAGAAATGCATGGGTAGTTTATTTGGGAAACAGAGATCTGACACTATACGGAATCAAGCAAAATGTTTACTTTAAAATTTTAAAAAAAGGTGGAAGATAAGAAAAACAACACCTTACAGATTTAAGACCGTAATAAAAATTATGTAAGTGTCTACAGTTCTTCGCATGTTGTAATTTCAAGGTAATAAAAATGATCTCATGTCAATATCAGCTGTTTGAGATGATGCAATCACTGCGACATTGCCAACGCGCGCCTGAACGGTTATTTGCTGTGATGTCAACATGGTTGATGACGTAGTCTAACGTCGTTCACAATGGAATAAGATAGTGGTACCACCTGTTTTTTAGGGTGATATTTCACCCCGCCACTCGATGAATCAGATGAATCATTCTTCATCATTGGCGGATGTTTTGCGGCATCTTCTGATTTGTTCTTCAACTTTCAAACTTTTTTCTGACAGTGTAGAGATTTTATTTTACCACTGATGAATGGCATGTTATGACAATTCACTGTAGAATCTATCTAATGAGTTTAACCCCATAGAGTGAAGAAAACTGATTTTCCGTCGCACTCCAAAAATGTATTGAGTTATGTGGTGTCGGCCAAGAACACGTAAAATTTTTCCAAAATTGATTGAATCAAAAGCCAATTTGTCAATCGCTGCTTACAACTTCGAGCCAAAATTCCAATAAATCATAAATTATAAATTATGCATTTTGTAAAATACAATGAGCAATGAAAACTAAAGTTATCGTCCTAAATGAGCTTGAAAAAGACAACGAAAAAAAAAACCAAAAATAAATGCACTTCGCCTTGATCTGATTTGACCTACTCAAAAACCTACTGGTAGAACTACTACTTCCTCAAGTTGCATACTCTCAAGGAGTAACTTCCACTACATGTCTTTGACTACAACGTAATTTCTCGGCCTGCGTGTTTGACCTGACCACTCTAGCTCTCTACTCTGTGATACGTGACGTAGCCGGTATTTCTTCCACGTCTTATCAACGTTGACTGCGGAAACTCCAAATCGTCAAATCCTCCTGATGGTAGAGTAAGGTTATTTCAATACCCCCTTTCCCTTATTTTCAATTCAGCAATTGAACGTGCATCTCTACTAACTAGTGTAACTCCTGAAACCAGTAATTAATAGGCAAAATGAAATACTTTTCACTCTTTCTTCTTTTGGTGCTGCCAGCAATCGTTTGCATCTTTGAGAGAGGTAAGTTTCATCGAAGCATTCTCAACTTTCTAATGAAGCAACTCTGACTTGGCATCTTAAGATGATCTGTGTTCGATTACTCCAGTGCATTTTCTATTTTCTTTCTAAAGTGGCTGAATCAAACTTACTCTAGCATTCTCATTTTGCGCTTGCAATTCTGAGCTTTCTTGTGTTACTGAAGCTCTTTAAAGTCAGCCTATTGTACCGATAACGTTAAGTTTCTTTTGACCGCAGCATCCATTGTTGCATCTGCAAATTGGAAAGTAGACAACCTAAAGCTGCGCTTCCTAAGCCCAAGTACTTCGTACCTTTGAAGACTCATATCATCTCCTTTGAAGATTCATAATCCAGGAAATCAGGGGAAAACATTTGATTTCCTATACCGATGCTTGTTTTTATGAGGATGTGTAAAATCTTGACTTTTTCAGTCAATATCTAGTTTTGGGGTTGACGATGTTTGCATCACTCTCAATCATACTCAAGCTGTAAGTGAAAACATTCAGTGGTTCTATTTTCTTTGGCCCTAAACAATGACCTCCTTTTCGCAAGGTAAATGGCAATAGTAAAGCAGAAATGAAATATCTGTGAGATTGCAGATTTTAAATGACTTGAGATCCCAATTTCTTATTTTTCTTTCAGAAAATGGAGTCTTCGTCAGGGCAGTGGATGAAGATGACGATAGCTTGGTCGATGTTGAAGGAGAGGAACAAGAAACTTCTGTGACAGATGAAGGAGGCGAGGAAGCCGTCAAATCTGCGAGTGGAGCCGCAACGAATGCAGATACAACTGTCTTATTCACAAAACCAGTGACGCCTGTTGGCACTTCTCTAGGTATTTTTTTCTTTTATCATCTATTCCTTTGAAGCGTTGCTCTTTATTGATTCTTGAGCTTCACCTTTTCTTTGTTTCTTTCTTTCTTTTGTATAATCTAGGTACATTAATTTTTTAGTTGCCACAGAAGTAGTCTAGATGTAATGCTACAGTCAATTTCCATCCATTTCTTTCATATACTTAGTAGATAAAGAAACGGTAGGTATGAATAAGAAGTCCATGAATTAAAAAAAGTACACAGAAATGCCAATAAAAGAAGAAGATGCCCCTAACTTATAAAAATGGCAACTAAGCAAAGGAGAAAAAGTAATCAAAAACTTCTGATAACACAATTTATGAAGTTGGCCCAAATCATTTCGTTGAAACTGCAGGAATGCGTATCTTGATTTGCAGTGCTCTAGAGTTCCTGTTATAAGTACCTAATTTTTTAAATGGAAAAATAATTTGCGTCATTGCTAGAAAACTTCCCCTGACACGCGAACTTCCTTCTCTTTGTGAGAATAATCTGCCAGAATTTCAAAGAATAGCATTGATTTGTTCTCCTTTGATCAAATAAAATGCAAGCGGAGATTTTCATGCACCGCAAACAAGATACCTCCACTTTCTGTAAGTTTCATTGGTGATTCACATTTCCTAAGTAAATTTGTTCAATTAATTTTTATTTTTTTGTAAAACAGGAACAATGGTTTTAAATTTTTATCATTTTAGGAATGTAGAAAGTGATTTAGAGCATAAAGTAATGGCAATCTCCACATTGTAACTTCCTCATTCCGCAAGTAGGCTGTAACAATGTATAGCTAAATAACTTCAAAAATTACTGCGCTTATCTACTTTTTTTAAATTCATAGAAAAGAATATAGTATTGTTAATTTTTATCATTTGCTCACAAATTTCCCACCGTGTTTTGGTATTTTATGCACTCTGGTACCTATTAATTTTTTGTGATGAGTGATTATTTTTTCCCATTGCAGATTTGCCAGCTGGCCAAATAGCTGAATTCTTAGTTGGATTCTCTAACAAAGGTAATGACGATTTTGTATTGGAAACTCTTGATGCCTCATTCAGATACCCAATGGATTTCAGCTTTTACATCCAGAACTTCACAACGATTGCATACAACAAACGAGTAAAGCCTCACCATGAAGCCACACTTGCTTACTCCTTTATCCCAGCCGAAGCCTTTGCTGGTCGTCCATTTGGTCTGAGTATCAATCTACGCTACCGAGATGCTGTAAGTTTAGTTCATTCTTAAAATTACCTAGTGATAAAGAGTTGTAAGAAAAGTCAGGACTTCACTTAAAACCTTTAAGTACAGCCAGAGAATTTGAACAGCGGTCATGGAGACGTATCTGAAGAAGTCAGGAAAGGAAAAACTAATTGAAGTGTATAGATTAATAACTTTCCCTTCAAGATATTTTTTCAATGGTTAATAGAGATCATATTGACGATGAAACTGCACAGTAATGCAGCAAGTGCCATTTGGTCCAACGTTTTACGTTCAATGCTCAATGTTCAGTATCTCATGTTTTGTTAATCCTTTTTTTAATCTAGAAAGAACTACTGACATCATATGTCTGCTCCACTTGGTATATAATTTAAAAAGAAATTTCATCAATTGGCACAGTTGTCAATGAGTATACATCATCAAACAAATATCACTTGTGAAACCAGGAAGTTGTGTTTATCGATTTGCAATGTAGTACTTAGATTTCCTTTTCAATCATCCTTTCATGAAGAATGCCCGATAATCGTTAATACGCAAAATTTCATGTGATACTTTCTTGATCCTCTCAGAGAATGCTCTGTAAGTTTCCCCCAAAAATGATCAATAAGTAATATTATTTTTTATATAGGGAGGTGTGGACATTTTGAAGGAAATGTTGACTTGTTACTAACTTGTAACCTTTTTTTTTCCTTAGGCTGGAGAGCAATACTACGAAGGAATTTACAATGAAACAGTAAACATAGTGGAAATCGATGAAGGTCTCGATGGAGAAACGTTCTTCTTATATGTCTTCCTTGGTGGTTGTGTTGTTCTACTGTTAGTTGTAGGCCAACAGCTATTATACTCAATTGGCAAAAGACGCCGAATTGGAGGTTCTTCGAAAAAGCAAACTGTAGAATTAGGAACGAAAAATGATGATGTGGACTATGAATGGATCCCTAAGGAAACACTTGCACATTTGAGTACGTAGTTATGATTGATACCAATTTTTACATATCTCTTCTCTTTATTTCTCATTACTTTTATTAAATTTTCCGGGATCACTTTGAATCTTTTAACATGTCCTTTGTCATGGATTGTTAGGTACCAACACATATCATTTAATACCATGGAATTCATGAAAATTTATGTTTTTTTAAACAACAGCGTCTGACAAATGAGCTGAGAGATAAAACAATAGGATGGTTGAAACCATGGGTTAATACTTCATGTGACGGCACGAGTAACGAGCCAATGAGGAACGTTCCATTTTTCCTTCTTTAATTTCCTTTTCTATTTTCTCGTTTTTGCAAGCTATTAGAACATTTCTAAACTCGGAAATTTTCTCTGTAATGAGTTTTACAGTAGAGGCATCTATCATTCAAACCCACTTCTGTACCGCACAACTGTCCCATTGTAGTTTCACTTTACCAAAATTGAAATATATAATTTATGAACAATTGACCGATCCAATCCATCGCGTATCTCATTTCATGCGCTATTCCAGTCATTTTTACAACTTGTAACCTTGTTTGTTTCAGACCAATCTCCAAAAACACCAAAGCAAAGTCCTCGACAGAGGAAACCTAAAAAGTCACCTGGAAAAAATGAAATATAATTGTTCCTTCTTACAATGCCAACTTAAACTGTCTTCTGTTGAAGATTTATTAGTAAGTTTTAACGATTTATTTATTTACATGAATCTCTCTGGGTCTTACTGTTCACTCCTTTTTAGTGTATTTTCCAAAGAAAATACATTATTGCATTTTTAATGATGATTTTTTCCTGTCCTTCTACCTTTTTCTTCCTCAATGAATGAGTGATTTTATTCAGCGTACATACAGTGGTGGATACAGAAAGAGCTTAAGGGATTGTTAGGCTATCTTGAGAGGGGAGTGTCTGAAGATGACTCTGGTTCTAAGCAGACTGGGGTCTGAAAGACCGGTCCCAGTTGCGCCAAAGCCTTGCCAAACATCAGTAAAAATTCCTTGATTTTGATTTGAGATCCCCTGATACCATGAACGGTCACCCATTTCACTTATTTTCATATAGAGGTGTTGTCAGCTACGTTAACAGTTGTTTACTTTTGATTGTCATGCGCAGTAGACTGATTAATGTCTCTGCGCACCACAGCAGTGTTGCTTGCAATCATGCCATGGTCAGCCATTCGACGACTGCACTGCGGTCGTTTACAAATGGAAAGTAAGCAACTGCCAACTTAGCTGACGATATCTTTAAGTCAATTTTGCAAACTCAGATTTCAAAATTAGATATTTATTTATCTTTATCATTCAGTTGAAATGTTTTAAAATGTTTAATTTATTTTGGAATTTACAGGAATTTAAAAAAGGACATCCGCAGCTCAATCTGGAATTCTTCAAAAAGTTCGAAATAAGTCAAGATTTTGTTTGAAGATGTGGAGAGACAACACACAATGCACAACCATCGAATGACGATTTCCTCACTCGAGCCTTCCTTTTTTTCTTGTCAGTCAAATTTCGTTTTGTGTTGTTAATGATTTTGCTGCTACTTCAGGGATCTTATCCAATTAGCAGAGCTATCAGGGATTTTAGGAAGCTCTCTTAACGGACATTTTCAGTGGGCTCTTCAGCAGAATGTTTCGGAAAAATCCAATTACCTCTCTCAGATCTTAGCTGTCGCAAGTTTTTTTAATTTAAAAGAATGAAGCACAAAAATTGTAAGATATCCAACCCCCTGACACATTGAAATTTTGTGAGCAATAGTTAGGCTAAGCTGCCAACTTGTAGGATATTTTGTGAAAATTACATATCAACAAATGAACAAAGAGAGTTTAAATCAGGGACGGGCGGATATTGAAAAAGTGATGGAAAATATCAACCCATCTGTACTTAAACCGGCTCGTTTTAATTGTTTTTTGTTTTTGAGACAAACTGGTCCAAAATTACTCCAAGTATCGTATCAACCAGCCCACTGGGATTTTTTGCAGTGTCCCAGCCTACCTATCTGCCCCTGCTTCTGATATGCCCTAAATGATGCTTCTTGATCACACATTTTTTTTTTCTTCTTATTAAATCTTGTCTTTCATTGCGTATTCCATTGACGCAGTTTTTAACTTGTAGATTTTAAGTCCCAAGTCTTAATTATAAAATCCACTCAATACTCCAAACTCGCTCAACTTTAGACATATTTTCTTGAAGCATGAAATTGACAAAATCCCAAATAATTCCAGCAAGGAAAGTGAAGATAAGTACTAATTAATCTCCCAGCTGGTGAAAGTGAATGTGATAGAATCTACATCTATTCTTTGTTTAAGACCTTATTCCAGGCCAAAGCTTGCCTCATTTCATGGATTTTGGTTGGTTTCTTGGGATTGTGGATTGCAAAAGCTTAAAAATGATTCATTGTAATGAGGGAAGCATGCAAAGAATTAAATCTGAGTTTCCTTGTTTTTTGTTTTTTCCGAATCACTCTACTCTTTAGCCAGCTAATATTGATTTTCACTGCTTTAACCAAACGAATTCTTTATTATTTTGTCCAAAAGTAAGTAAGATAAGTTTTTTAAATCCGATCAAATTTTCTCCCCCCAAGACAATACCTGAACATCTCTTTGCCTCATACATATATAACTAGCCCACAACATTTGATTCCTTCAATTTTTTCCCTCCAAAGTGTATTTATCAATGAAGTATGTATGTGTTCATGCATATCCCCCTAACACCAGAGATTTTCTTTTGATGACTCAATTTTTGTACCCTTTTTTTTTACTGTAATTTTGTAAAGTTTTGATCAGGAACTTAAGTCAGTTTTAAAGGCCAGCTTGAAGAACATCTTGGCTGATAAGACGTCACCAAGTAGGAAGGATTTATCTGAAATTTTTTTTTTCATAAAAAGTATCCTTACTAAAATATTCTATTCAACTTAATGTTGTCCTTTAAAACCCTCTATGTAGAATGGATCAAATCTACGTAGTGATTGCTGATTTTAACTCTGCTAGTACTAGTTACCTGTTACGGTTTTTATTATGTACTCAATTCTTCATCCCAAATAAGTGCATTTCAGATGCACTGTGACATCAGCCAAAAGAGACAGTAGAACTGCAAGCCAAAGTTTGCAGAGCTCCTGTTCTAGCAAGTCTGAAAAGCTGGTTCTCAGTTCCTCGTTTAGGTGTTTCAAATTATAAATATTGTAAATAAAAGCAGTGTAATTCATAAGTCCAAAGTTCAATTACGTTAGATTGTTTTTGTGTACTATCATCGTGTAAATTAAGACAAATAATTTCATAAATTAAATTAGTCTGTTCCAATTTTTTTTATAACTCTTGTCTGTTTTATTTTCTCTGAAACATTTTATCCTTAGCCATGAAAGTAGTTTTGATTGAAACTACATAGGAGAATTTTTAATTTTTTTTTATTTATTTATTTATTTTTAAGGCTCCAAGTAGTGAAATAAAAGTCTGCAATTTTGTACGAAATTTTGAGCGAATATTTTTTCAAGGGCAAAGAAAAATCATACAGATATGGCCCAATAATATTATGATCAGTTATCCTTTCAAAAGTACTTGAAGTCTTACAGTACCTATGAAACGAAATTAAGATGCATGTTTTTGCCATCGTTGCGTGGATAAAGTTTTTCGGCCACTTTCTAATGGAAGAGTTGGGCTAATTTCGTATTTTAGTGATTGGCACTAACTTAGAAATCACTAAAAAAATTCTTAAAAAAGTATTTCTAATTACATGAAAAAGTCGTCTTTTTAAGAAAAGCACGTCGTGACTTATTTAATGTACTTTTTCACGTGAACATTAGAAAATCCTGTCTTGTTTCTCAAACCTTGAAGTTAACACCCACTCCCACTACATACTCTACTCAGCAGCATGACGTTTCAAGTATACATTCAATGAAATGATATAGATTCCTAAGATTCCGAGTTTGCCTACCTTGGCATTTGCACGCAAATCTAGTCACTTATACGTTTTAAGCTCGATTGCAACATTATTCGCCACTTCTCATGTTCTATTTTTCATCAGCATTTTATTTATTTATTTAATCACATAACGGGCTAAAGCCCCAACAAAAAACAGAACTATATGTGAGATAGCACAAAAACAAAGCTTAAATGAAGACAAACCAGAAGACAACAAGTAAGAAGTAAAGATAAAATAGAAAATTAAAGTACCCTATAATACATTCTCATAGTATTTCAGCACCTCCCCTTTTAAAACATTTTTAAACTTAGTAATTACAAGAGAAGAGTTAGCGAGATGCGATGGTAACTTGTTCCAGGACCATTTTCTTAAAACTACTCACAGATTTTCTGGAATTTTTCCGGGAATTTGCCGGACTTATTTTAAAGGAAATCAGAGGAAATTCCAACGCGATATTTTCGTTCGTTCTTTTCATTACAGCCAGAAAAAAATTAAACGAGTTTCATACTTCTGAAATTGATTGAGTTACTTATTTTAACGGAAATTATGGTAAAAACGGGTCAAAGAGTGAAGAATTATGACACGCCGTCCTCATTGTCCGGTGATTTTAGTGTCGCACCCAGCGGATGGAACGCAGTCATCCTCACAGTGTGACGCGCCTTCAATTCGGCAAGCGGCAATATGCCTACACCCGGGGTCGAATAGTTATCTCTTTGCGCCTGCTGTGAATGAATTCAAATTACGACCGCTGCATGCGATAACGGGCGTAATTATCTCCGATGGCAACGTTGCACGCCTTTTCGCATGCCTATTTTTAAATAAAAAAAACTCCACGTAGTTTTTAAGATAGTTCTCGAAATGTTTAAAAAAAAACGAACACACCGTTGTTACGCCTGCTGTGAATGAATTCAAATTACGACCGCTGCATGCGATAAAGAGCATATTTATCTCCGATGGCAACGTTGCACACCACCTCTCATGTTTTATTTTTAATCAGTATTTATTAAAACTACTCGCAGATTTTCTAAAACTTTTCCGGGAATTTTTCGGAATGATCTCGAAGGACATCACCCAAAATTTCAACGCGATATTTTGCGCTGGAACGCAGTCATCCTCACAGTGTGACGCGCCTTCAATTCGGCAAGCGGCAATATGCCTACACCCGTGGTCGAATAGTTATCTCTTTGCGCCTGCTGTGAATGAATTCATATTACGACCGCTGCATGCGATAACGAGCGTAATTATCTCCGATGGCAACGTTGCACGCCTTTTCGCATGCCTATTTTTAAATCATTTTTTAAATAAAAAAAACTCCACGTAGTTTTTAAGATAGTTCTCGGAATATTTAAAAAAAAAAAAAAAAAAAAAAAAAAAACGAACACACCGTTGTTACGCCTGCTGTGAATGAATTCAAATTATGACAGCTGCATGCGATAAAGAGCATATTTATCTCCGATGGCAACGTTGCACACCACTTTTCATGTTTCATTTTTAATCAGTATTTATTAAAACTACTCACAGATTTTCTGAAACTTTTCCGGGAATTTTTCGGAATGATCTCGAAGGACATCACCCAAAATTTCAACGCGATATTTTCGTTCGTTCTTTTTATTAAAGGCAGAACAAAATTAAACGCGTTTGGTAAAAACAGGGCCAAGAGTGAAAAATTACCACTCGTAGTTCTAATTTCGCGGTGATACTAGCGTCGCGTCAGCTTGGGAAAGGAACGGTGTCGATTCATTTTCGCAGTGTGATGCGCCTTCAAATCGGCAAGCGGCAATATGCCTACACCCGTGGTCGAATAGTTATCTCGTTACGCCTGCCGTGAATGAATTCAAATAGTGATCGCTGCACGCAAAAAGAACGTATTCATGTCCGATTACAACGTTGCATACCACTTCTCATGTTTTTTTTTTTCAATAGTAATTATTAAAACCACCCACGGATTTTCCGGGAATTTTCTGGAATGATTTCAAGTGAAATCAGAGAAAATTTCGTCCGTTCTTTTCGCTCATTCTGTTTTCTTCATTCTTTTCAACAACCAATAAAATTAAACATCGACCGAGTTTCTGAAGATATATAAAAGGAAAATTTTGTTTATATTTATGCAGGGATGTATGAAAGGATTTTTTTTTTTTTTACTAGAAAAAATACAGCATTTTATTTACATAGATTAAAATAAAAATTTATGGCTTAAGATTAGCAGAAGATGTACATTCAATGCATAACAGTGTTGATAAGATTTTGCAACTTTATTGATTTCTTAAAAGGAGCCTGAAAGGTTCGATGGCTTCTTATTTTACTATAATAAAGTGTTGCTGTCGCGAGAAAAGATTAACCATCCGTTTCCGGTGTTTCTCAAACTTCAGGTTTACACTTTCTATCTCCGGCCACCTTTAACTTCCGATTTTTACTTCCTCTTCCAGTTTTCCCTTCCTTTTTGGCTTTGCTCTTTTACTTCTAGTATTCTCTTTCACTAGCGGGTTTTAAGTTCCTTCCCCGATTTTCACCATCCGCTTCAGGTTTTCACTTCATATTTCACTTCCTGTTTCCGGTTCATACTTCCCACCTCCGATTTTCAACTTACTTCCAATTTTCAAGTCACACTTCCGCTTCCGATGTTCACCATTCGCCTCAGGCGGTGACCGGTTATCACTCCCGGCTTCTTGTCTCTACCTCCCACTTCCGATTTTCCCTTCCTATTTGCGCGTTTTCACCTCGTAATACTGGTTTTCAACTTCAGTTTCCGGTTTTCTTTTCCCTCCTCCAGTTTATCCTTCCTTTTTCAAGATTATACTTACCACTTCCGGTTTTCACCTCAAACTTCCAATTTTCACTTCCCATTCTCGGTTTTTACCCAGAATTCCGGGTTTCCTTTTTATTTTCGGTTTTTACTTTTCACTCCCGGTTTTCAACTTCCCCTTCAGGTTTTCACCTCTTACTCTGCGGGTATTCGCCTCCCATTTCTGATTTGCCTGTGAATCAAACCAACTGGATTTACATGTTCATTGCTGTCCTCGTGCTTTTCGAAATGATCATGTTTTAATTTAACTACCTCCTCCCCATGTACATTCTCTACTTATCTTTCCTCTCCTTTAACCTCGGGATCCCCTTTCTCCTTTACTCAGAATTTACCACTTACGTCGAAGCATCCCTAAAATGATCAGTCCAATCCCATTTCAAAACCCTGCGGGTAAAATATCACTGAATGATAATGTGAACGCAAGTGAGAGTCCACTAGTTCTCTATTAGTTCGCTAAGCAAGCATCTACCCGGTAAAGGCAGTCATGCCGCAATAATTTGAATTTGATTACCAAAGAATAGAGCGGCAGAGTAGGCGATACTCAAAGATTGCATACGTGCTTAAGTGAAGGCGCATCATACCTTGTAACTCCAAAAACACGAAATCGATTAATTTATGATTTTTCGTTCACAGTTTGACTGTAATTATGGTTTGACATGGGGGTACAACAAGTTTTAAATTCCACTAAATTTTACGTCTGTATCGTCAACTTGAAGGAAGTCAAAAAATTGTTTCATACTCGCCTGAAAAATTGTGTTTTCGGAGGTACCTTCGTGTTTTCGGTCTATCACCCGCGATAATACTTTTTTGATGCGTGTGTCACACGTAATGGCTCCATATTTTATCTTTAAAAAACGCCTAAATTCATGGCTTTTTCTCTGTTATCGAGTAGGGGGAATAAATCATCGGCTGTTCAGTTTTTAACCATAGGTACAAGCTTTAATTATCACGATTAATTAGTTACGAGCTAACACTATAATTAATTTAAAAAATCGGTCTCAAAATTTGTAAAGAGACCTTTCAATTTTATCTTGAATTTTTCAGACTGTTACTCGAGTTTCCTAAATATAATATTTGTGGATCTAACGTCAATTTTAATAGAAGTCTCCGAGATAAATATCAGGGTCGGACTGGCTCGCATCTGGGGGCGTAGACCCTTGGCTGGGTAAAGGGGCGTAATATGATATTTCCTAGTGGGGCATTCCCTACGTGGAGAGGGGTTCAGAAAATTTTGGCAAATCAGCACAAGTTTACGCTATTTTCAGGTTCAAAATTCATTGATCGCACGAAGTAAAAATTGCGAAATTGAACGTGAAGCACTGCATTGAGAGCTCACGGTTCGCGTCATCGCGCCTTCAATTTTTCAGATGCAGCACGGACGTCCATCAAGTACGAATAGTTGTATCTCTGCGCCGTCGTAAACACGCATCCTTTCCCTCCCTCTTTTTCCATATTGTGTTTGTTTCCGTTTGCCTTATTCGTAATGGTGCTTCAAGCACTACGTGAGTAATACAGCCAAAGGTAGGAGAGATGTCCTCAGGCCTTTTTTAAACTTTTCTCCCGAATCAGAGCGACGCTTCATCGACAGCA